GAATTTTTATTTTATCTAATGAAGGTATAAACTATAATAATAAAAAAGATAATGTTAAACTTAAAGCATTCATATGTGATGCACCTTCTCGTTGTTTTCTTGAATGTATACAAGGTCATACAGGATATTACTCTTGCGAACGATGCCAAGTTAAAGGATTATATGAGAAACATAGAGTGGTTTTCGTCGATGAAAACATATCAACCTTAAGATTAACTGAGGAGTTTAATACCTTTTTGTACACTAGACATCAGAAATCCCTTAATCCTTTAGCTCAACCTTAAATATCTTGTGCTTCTGATTTTATTTTAGATTAAATGCACATGGTAAGACGCATAATTACTTTTTTAAAGCCAGGTTCTAAACTTTGTAGACTTACAAATGTCCAAATAAAAAAATATCTGATAATCTATTAAGCTTACGTGGTATGATGTCATCTGAATTTGCTCATCAACCACGTTCCCTTTTAGAGTTAGATCGTTGGAAAGCAACAGAATTTAGACAATTTATTTTATTATTTTATGGTCCTTTCGTTTTAAAGGGTGTTGTTAGCAAAAAAATATATAATCATTTTCTAACATTGCATGTTGCAATGGCAATTCTCTTAAATGAAGACAATCAATTTAGAAAACATTATCTTGAATTTGCTAGAGAACTAATAAAATATTTTCTTACTAATTCGAAACATATATTTATATATATATATATATATATATATATATATATATATATATATATATATATATATATATATACATATGTATATATATATATATATATATATGTATATATATATATATATATATATATATATATATATATATATATATATACATATATATATATATATATATATATATATATATATATATATATATATATATATATATATATATATATATATATATATATATATATATATATATATATATATATATATATATATATATATATATATATATATATATATATATATATATATATATATATATATATATACAAAATCATTCTGTGTTTATAATGTTCACTGTTTACTTCATATTTGTAATGATGCTGTTAGACTTGATTGTTCACTAAATAAAATATCTTGTTTTCTCTTTGAAATTATATGCAGACATTAAAGAAAGCAGTGGAAAATCTTAAGAGTCCTTTTATTCAAATAACAAAACAATATCAAAATAAACAAACATCTATTTAATATAAAGTCTCAAAAACTAAAAATTTCAGTGAAGCTGAAAAATTCATGAGAAATTACGATCAGGATTTGCAACTTGATTTGCAAAATGATTTACATACATTCCTATTCTTTCTAAAACTTTTCAAATTTTCTTCATACCAAAGATTAATGAAGTAAAAGTGGTTGTGTTACAAATGGAAAGTCTCCGCCGAAATGTTGATGGTATAATTAAATTGTATTATTATTTTCGTGTTTATAGTTTATTTATATTATATTATAAATTATAAATAAATTTGTTATAAATAAAATAAAAAATTAGTTATTTACTCATATCCGTCCCAACAAAATCATTAAAGAGATCGTTTGTTTTTAATTTGTCACCTGGATTTATTTTTTTAAAATTATCAAATATGTGTTCTGGTATCTAATAATTTTTAAGTTATTAAAATTTAGATTATATTCAATTTTCAACACCTACATTCTACAACATTTCTGTGTTTTTATTTTTAGCTTTACCTGACACTTTTTTACCTTTACATTCAGAGAAAAAATCGACTTCGTATAATTATTCTGATTCAATATATTTTTATTACTTTTAAATTTTTTAAATATATATATATATACATATAAATTTTTTAAATATATACATATACCTCTTTTTCAATTTGAGAGTGATCAATATAAAATGAAATAATCACAAAATAGATCAATAAATAAATAAAAGGTTAGATGAGAAAAAACTTTTTTTAGTTTTGATTTTTTTTTATTTAGGTTAAACAACTGAGTTTTTTAGATACATAAGATTATAAACAGCTGACGAGATTGGTTATGAATAGGTTTTTTTAATTATATTTTTGTACGAGCAATCATTTTTTGTATATTTATTAGCCATTTTTTATATATACATTTAAAATATATTCATAACATATATAAAAAAGGCCGGTTGGTATATTAAAGTTCTTCTTTTTTATAAATTCTATTATATAATTATAATTAATTATAGACTATTTACAAATACCCTGTTGACACATTTTGACACTTAAAAGGTTCTGGTGGAAAGATTGCTTTATCATCAACCAAACTATATGGTGTAATAGAAGGTAATAAAAATAGTTTTAATGTATTAATATTTTTTAATAGTATTTGATTAAATCTATATTTAGTTAAAATTATTTTTAAGATTTTTGTTCGACAAAATTATTTTGTTTACATTTTATTATTTGAAAAGTATCTTTAAATTTTTTTTTATATTTAGAAGTTGTAAAGAGAAGATTTGAAAGACTTTCAAATGATGATATTAAACAGCAAATTGGACGGTTTTGTAAAAATGCTCCATCGCGGAAAAATACAAACTAAATGAATTATTATTTTTTCTCGTATTATATGCTGTATACCCAGTGGGCACGGACGTAAAAAAGACGTCTTTTAAACGTCTTATACACGTTTTGGACGTCTTTTGAACGTTCTAAAGACGTCTTTTTTTGGTCCGGTGCCCACTGCGATACATTGTTATATAGAAAGATACTTTATTAGAATCCAGCTAATTGTATATATAAATCAAGTTAATTGTATTATGTTTGCTTTTTTTTTTTAATTTATTTTTTCCTCTACAATTATAATATAACATAATAATTAAATAAATCTTTGAGCTGAATTGAGTGGGATGTATTAAACCAGTACTCCGTATAAGGTCTTTTCGATGGACAAAGGTGACCATTTTAAGACGTCTTTAAGATGCTTACTTTTATCTTTTAACTAAATATCTAAAAGTCGTCTAAAATTAGAATAAAAGACTTCTTGAATAAAACGTCTTCTATGCGCTTGGATAAGACATTTTTAATCTGTCTAGAGTTTGACGACTTTAACCAATCTTGAGTAAGATATCTTTTTGACGGACAAGGTAGACCTTATTAAGATATCTTAAAGACGTTTTTTTAATTTTGGAAAGACGACTTTAAGACAGCTAAAAGATATCTTTTTGTTTGCTGGACATAATCAAATTGCTTTAACATAAATTTGTTTATTTAAAACTTTAAAAAACGTTCGTTTTTCCGTAATATATATTCAAATGTTTTTTCTTCAGCATAAATAAAAAGTTGCCATTTTGTAAATTATTTTGTTTAAAATTTAAATTAACATTAGTTTTGCCGCATTTAATTTAATTATTTTATTTAGAATATAAATAAATTATTCAATTTAGAATTATAATAAGATAATTTTTGATTATTATTTTTTTTTAATTATTTTAAGATGTTCGTTTAAAATAAAACATAAATTAGTTTTTGATTTTGCTGTTTTTCTATTTTAATTATTTTATTTAGAAATTAAGTAAAACGTTTGTTTTGTCGATTTTATTTTATTTAGAATTTAAATAAGTTGTTTGTTATTAAATTAAAATGAATTAAATTTAAAATATAATTTATTTTAAATCAATTTTGATTTTCATTTAATATTTTTAACTTTCTGTATTTCAAATGTTTTTTTATTAATTATTATTAAAGTTTGACGAGCAAATACCGCCGATCAAGTTTGATCGGCCAGATTTAATTTTAGGCGATCAAAATGTCAATTTTTTTAAAAGTAGCCGATCATTGATCAGCCGCTATTTCGAGCGCTGCAAAAAGATATTCAGATATCTGATTAAAAATCTATCTATCTTGTAGTCGTGCTGTTCATATCGATAAGTAAGTCTCAAAACAACTTATTTATTCTGATTTAGATGCTCTTTTTTGTTTTACACTATAAATAATAAAAAGTAGATTAAAACATAGGCAACACCAACTAATGTCAAACATAGAAATGCTTTTATGAGACATAGCAAAAACAATTTTTGTGCTTGTGTGTGTCTACATATATCGTAGGTATATAAGGTAACTGCATGTCCATTTTTGGCATTATCGTTTGATATACCGCATAAATTTAATAAATCAATTATTAATGAGTTATTAGGATTTTTTATATTAACTATTACTTAAAAACTGATTGGTGCAAAACACTTATTTTATATTTCGCTTAAAAACTTAGTAACTTCGTCGCAATTTAATTAGTAAATTGTTTGTTTTAAAATTTAAAACAAACAATTTACTAATTAAACTAATTCGTTGGCTTTACTGAACAACCTTTGGATTTTGATTTCAGTTTATTGCTTATTATACTTTTCATATAATTTTTTTTTATAAGTCGTTATAGAAAAAATATAGGTAAAATATATCATTATTTATTTTACATATAAAACAATATTTATTTTGAGATTTCTAACTCTATATTTAGTTTCACGTTTGAAACTCTCTTTTTGTTTCATATACTCGATAATAGCTTTATTTGATATATAATTTGTTAATAATATGAAAAATATTTAACGAGAGAAAAATTTTTTTTTAAAAAAAAAAAAAAAAAATGGCTCTAACTTTTCATTGCGTTTTCATATATAAACTATTTTACGTTTTCTGAAAGTAACTTAAATAACTCATTACTAGAAAAAAAAACAACATTTTTTCACAGTTTTTTTTAACTGTATATTATTCAACTGTATTTTAAACTTACTTTATTGCTAAAAATATACGACCCTTCGTGACCTATATTTTTTTTAACGTTTTAAATTTTCTTAAACGTTCAAAGTAAAGGTTTACGGTACGTACTTTATTTTGCTGTCAATTGAATATAATAAAAAAAACTAGATGGACAGCTAACTGTATTCAGCAAATTTAGCAACTAGATTAGCAAATTATATTTTTCCAAAGTAAATTAATTTCCATTGCACAGTATTTGAGATTTGCGTTTTGGGAGCTTTAAGAAAAAAAGCCTTATTATAAAAATAACAATATTTAAATAAAAATAACTATATTTAAATATAAAAATAGTTCAACTCATGTATATAAGAAAAAATGAACATTTCTTCTATATCAAACTTTGTTTTAATGCGATCCAAATGATTTATTCCAAATATCTTTACTGGATCTTTACAGTAATCAATAACGACAAAAGAAACACATAAACTGATTATACTAATCAAATGAGTATAATCAGTTCTTAACACCATTAATCATCAAATGTGTACACTATAATTAGTTCTTAACACCATTAGCGTATATTTTTAATGATTTTTCTTTAGAATGTTGAAAGGGATGATATTGTTTCCTGAAAATTTTATTGTAGTATAATTATTGTTTGTGCGTTATAGTCACAAAAAATACTATATTTGAAGATGATAAAATTATTTGCTAATTGTTTTAAAATCTTTATTCTTTTATTCAACATAATTTTAATATATTTTTTAGAAATGTTTATAAATTTATAGTTTAAAAATATTTAGAAAGTTACCTTTCACTGAGCCTTATTTCTCTTCTTTCGTCAAAAGTCAATTCTTTTATTTCTTCTTTATTATCTCTTAGAATAATCAGAAAAAAATATAATAATGATTTAGAAATAATTACATGTCAGAGACTATTAGCTTATGATATATCTGACACGTTATCTCCTTAATTATATTTTGTGGTTATATAGTGTCACTGTAAATTTTTGTAATTTAATCAGCATAAGTAACAAGAATAAATGAAAATCAAAAAAAAAAAAAAAAAAAAAAATCGAAAAAATATCTTTTACAAAATTATTAAATCTTTCACAAAATTATTAAATCATGATGTTGAACCATGTTGACAAAAATTTTAATTTTAACAGGATTAATCTGTTGAGCTATTGAACTACAAACTGGGCTGGTATTCTACTGAACTACAAACATACTGAGCTGGTACTCTACTGAACTACAAACATACAGAGCTGGTATTCTACTGAACTACAAACATACTGGGCTGGTGCTCTACTGAACTACAAACATACTGAGCTGGTGCTCTACTGAACTACAAACATACTGAGCTGGTACTCTACTGAACTACAAACATACTGAGCTGGTACTCTACTGAACTACAAACATACTGAGCTGGTACTCTACTGAACTACAATCTGCAATAGGTATAAAATATTATTATACATTTCTTATCACCTTTTTAACTGGGATGTGGAGCCTAAAGATCATAGCGATCATATTAAAAAAATTTGCAAAAAAATCCAGGCTTTCTTAATTTTTTTTTGAAACTTTTTTCTTTTATGTATGGGTAATGACTTAAAAAGTTTAAAAACATATATATTGCAAAAATATTTATTTAAACTTGTGTTTTAAATTTTACTTAATTTACTTACAAAATACTTATAAATACAGTAAGTTTCTGTACTAAGTTTGTATCCAGTTTTATTATCATCTTCTTATTTTAAAATCCAGTTTTCCTGTTATCTCCTTTACATTTCAAATCTAATTCAAATATTTTCTTCCTCTTTATTATTAAAAACAATTTACATTTACTGTATGCATACTTTTTCTAGAAATACTTATACAAATGATTTATTTATATTTAATTATAAAAGTCTTGCAAACACACTTATAGATGCTTTTAAAATCTTTAAATTTGTGCAAGCACTTTTGTAATTTAAATAAATCTCCTTCAAACTGAGGCTTTTTAATTTAACACGGTCCCCTCTACTTTATAACTAAAAAAGTTTTTAGTTATAAAGTAGAGTTTCTATAATTGTACCACGTCTGAAAATTAGTCATCTCTCTCTCTCTCTCTCTCTCTCTCTCTCTATATATATATATATATATATATATATATATATATATATATATATATATATATATATATATATATATATATATTTCAAATTTCAAATTTCTACAATTCCACAATTCCACAAATAAAGTTATTCTAGTGTATTCTACAATAATAAATAGCGAACTTGTAGGCTTATAAATTTTAAATTTCCTAGATAAAATAATTCTAATTAATTAGACCTGATAAGAACAACTAAAAAAAATATATAACAACTTTAAGGTAAACAGATCTTTTCTAAAAACTGTACCTGCCTATAATAATACTTCGAAAAAGTGTATGCTATGTTTGCAAGAAAAATTTGTAATTATTACCTATTTGGATCAAGTAATTTTACTAAAGAAAAAATCTGAATTAATTTCTAAATGCAGACATAAAAATAAATAGCTTATAAAAAAAGCAAACGACCAAACTAAAATTATCCTAATTCTAAAGAATACTTTTCACAATTAATTTGAAATAATGTAACTAATGAAACTTCCTGGTTGCACTAGCTACATTAGTTCTATAATAATTATTTATAACAATCCCGAAACTGCTGTGAAATATTTTTTCTGTAACTTGAATTTTTTGATATTTAGAAGATTTTGATATTTATAAAGAATATATAGGAGAAACAGCCTGTTGAAGAAAAAATTAGATCTGTTTTTACCAATTTACTAATTTTTCTAAACTACTATAAACTATGAATTTTATATATTATAAACTATAAATGCGTGTTTAGTTAACATTTCTGATGTCTCACCAAAATAACCTGCTGCCGGAGGCTTCAGTACACATATCGACTATCTATATACAGGCGGTTGTCACGAAGGAGTGCCACTATATAGACTGAAGGTTTAACATGAGGCAGCAATGTTTTCTTTTATTATTCTTCAATTTTTCTTCATTTTTTGAAAACACTGTATGCTGCAAAGATAGGAAAAACTAGTAAGAATTTGTTATTTATATATACTATAGTAGATATATACAGCTAAGAGGCAACCTGATTCAGCAATTCAAGATTTTAAAGATATTGAAATCAATGATATAAACCATACACCAATAAACTCGAATTATATGTATATAGAATCCAAATATCTAGCACAAAGGTTTTGGTACTGGTGCATCTGATGTATTGATTTAATATTTTATGTTGATTATTTCATGATTATTACATGAGTTTTAAAAACTATTAGTTTTATAAACTAAAACACTATTATAACGAAGCAAAATAATAATTTTGCTTCGTTATAAATAAACAACAAAGATGAAAAATCTTTTTTTTCATCTTTGTTGTTTATTTAAATAATTATGGGCATTGCAAATGGGTGGATGTTGCAAATATTTTTTCTGATTAATATTTATAACAACAATGACATTAAGTCAATCAATGAAAAAATAATTATTAATTGAACAAAAAATTCAAACTTCGACATCTATGAAACTATTTTTTTGCATTTGATAATATATTTATAATACAAAGGTATTGTAAAAAAAACTGTTTTTGTAAGAAACTGTTTTTGTTATTAAGTATTATTCAAAAATTAGAAATGTCAAAAAAACACAGAAAATTAGTAAAAAGTATAGTAAAAATCTTATAAAACTTCAAAAAAAAAGATATATTTATAACCCTTTTTTCACATTTTGAAACTTATTATAACATTTAATTTTCTTTGTTGTAGCTATGGAAATTTATTTTATTGCTCTGTTGTAAACATTTTTTCTTTTTCTGTTCTGTTAAATATTCTAATACTTACATGTCAAACTTAAAAAAAACTTAAAAAAAAAAAGATATTACTAATTTTTTTTTTATTTTATTTTATTTTTTTTTATTTGCATTCACTCCCAACAAGGCTGCAATAACCACTATTAAGTTGGGAGTTACTAGGAAAAAAAAGAACAGAGTTATAGAGCAAGGAAACGGTTGACAGAAGACTTGAAAAGTTGAAGGTTGTATGAGTCAGGAAAACATGAAGATGGGAGAGAGTTCCAAAGGATTGAAGTGGGGGGAAAAAAACTAGATGAATAAAAGTTTTTAGAGCATGCAGGGACAGATACAGTAAACGAATGAGACTTAGCTGAATGACGAGTAAAACGAGAATGAATTTTAGTTGATGGAACTAGAAATGATAACTCCTTTGAGCAGTGACCATGATAGTATCTGTAGAAAAGAGAAAGAGATGCAACTTTACGACGATGGGAATAGTTACTAAAAAATTAATAAAAACAGTTTTTCCAAAATTTACACAACATTTTCCGAAAACCTTAAAAACACTTTTCTATATTTCACAATATTATTTACTATGGCATTCACAATTCTTCTTGAACCCTGAATAATCATTACAAATAAAAAATTATAAGATATTAGGTGTTATTCATAAAATTCTTTTTAAACGGACTGAACTATTTCTTTAACTGTATATAATATTTTTGCACAAAAACAACTTTTTAACAAGCTAAAGCCTGTTTATAAAATTAATGAAATAAAATTTAAAAAAGTATAGTGGGTGGATTTATTTTAAATAAGTCAACCAAGTCAACTATAAAATCATATCATTACCTATAGTATATTACACTACCATCATCAGTTATTGATATTGGATATTCACCAAGTTTTTGGCAATTACAATCCCATTCCAGCTCATTATATATATCTAGTATTGATACCATGCAAGGGAAAACTCCACGCCCCTGAAAACAAATCAATTATAATTTTTCTTTGACTTCTTTTATAACACACAACTTTTTTCATAATCAACTCAGTTATCATGTTTTTTCGTAATCAACTCAGTAATCATGTTTTTTCGTAATCAACTCAGTAATCATGTTTTTTCCTAATCAACTCAGTAATCATGTTTTATCATAATCAACTCAGTAATCATGTTTTTTCATAATCAACTCAGTAATCATGTTTTTTCATAATCAACTCAGTAATCATGTTTTTTCATAATCAACTCAGTTATCATGTTTCATATACTATTATGTTATATTAAATAAATTCAAAAAGTCATATAAAACAACTTTATCACCAGCCTTCCATGTCCACAATTTTAACTTCAATAGCATTAAACTGTGAGTTTGAAAAAACAGTATGAAGATTTTACCTTGGCAATACTGACTTGATTTAATGGGATGCCACTTTTTTCACTTAGCTAAAAAATAAAATGAGATTTTTTTCAAATAGCTGATAAAATAACAACAGCAAAAAATTTCAAAAATTTCCATTTTTTTTGTCATAAATAATCATCTTTTTAATTTATTGAACCTTTTTTTTTAAGTTAACAAGGGAAGTGTCTTTATACAAAATTATTTCTTCAAATGGGCATAGAAGAAGTTGTGACGGTCTCCATCGTTTGGCATATAAATTTAAGTAGTCATCATTTACAATGATATCATTTTCTAAATAAAAATAAGCAAATTAAAAACTTAATTGTTTGATACATACACGTGTATGTATATAACATAAATTAAATCTTAGCTTTGTGTATGTCATTTGCGTATGTCATTTTTAATAAATTATGGACTTACCTAAAAAATACTAAACAGATTCTAAACTTTTGCAAGAGACATATATATATATATATATATATATATATATATATATATATATATATATATATATATATATATATATATATATATATATATATATATATATATATATATATATATATATATATATATATATATACAGGCCTCGGCAGGAAGCGAGAGCTTTAGCTCTCGCCTGCACTCCCCTAAAACGATTTACGGGAGCAATTTACGGCTCTGGCAAAAGTATAATTTTTTTACGAAAGTATAATTATTGTTGTAACTAAAATAAAAAACACAATGTCATTTAAAAAAAATTAGTTGCATAATATTCTGCAACCAAAAAAAAATTAAATGTAAAAAAGAGCGCCGATTTAAATGAGGAGCAGCTCGCACAGCACCTCAAGTTCGTTTTAGGAGAGCTTTTCTCCGCTCTCGTGCTCATTTATTCTTGTCGAGGCCTATATATATATATATATATATACATATATATATATATATATATATATATATATATATATATATATATATATATATATATATATATATATATATATGTATATATATATATATATATATATATATAAAAGGTTAAATGAAAAAAAACTTTTTGATGGTACGTTCTGACATGAAATAACATAAAAAAAACATCTTTACTAATTGCCAGTGTCAAATTAGGAAAAAAAAGAAATATATTTTTATGTTTGCAATTAGAAATAATCTCACTCCTTTTATTTAATAGATTAGTATTTTTATAATTTAATTTATTATTCATATTTGTTGATGAGATATAATTTGAAAGATTTAGCCTCCTATCTAACTTCCACTGATCACAAAAAATTCATTATACATATTCCTTATAATAGGCCAAAGTAAAAGTGACTTTAATTAAATAAACTCATTCCCCAGAATATTAGTTTTGTAACAAGTTCTAATAGGTTTAATAGGTTGATTATCCATTTGCTGTTGTCAATAATTGAAAAGAGCTGTTTAGGGGAGTGCAATTTTACACAAAGATGTAAAATTGCAATTTTATTTCACAAAAGTGCACATACTATGAGAAACATTAATTTTAAAAAGGTCACCATAGTGTGACAACCAACCTTTCTATGAGGGTTGGTTGTCACACAGGACGGGGTTGGTTGTCACATGATTATATCAGTTGATTTATTGTAAAAATATAATTAATTGTGTTATTGTATTATAAAATCATTCACATTTGAACATTGCATCTGGAGCAATAGACAAAACAATAAGACAAGATTTAAAGAATAATCTGTTTTATTTTTAGTTCCTCCTCGTCTGAGTCACAATTTAAACATATAAAGCTCAGCATGCCTGGTGTGCATTGTTCATGTGCTTACTTCTTGCATTCTAGACACTGTAACCATGTTTCTTTTGGTCTGCTATTAGCAAAGGACTCACAACAAGCAAAAATTGCTCTCATCTTCTGACAAAGTTTCAATACTTTTCCCAGCTTTTCCTCTTGCAGGATTCATTTTTGATTTGCCTTTACGGCCACCTTTATCAATTTCTTTTTAATCTTAGTTTTCTTGCTTGCTAGTAATGCTTTTACAGGGGAGCCGGTTGCTATTAGTGATGAATGCCCCTTCCTGCCTCCAGTAGGGGTTATTTTTGGCTCTGCTTTTGGAAATGGCCTTATTCTTTTTGGGGTGACATATTTAGGCTTACTGATATCAGCTTCTACACCAGGTTGTAGGCCTAAATTCTGCTGAAGAGCATTTGCCTTTTCTAAAATATCTACTGTGGGTTCATAGAGTTCCTCAGAACCTTGAACTTGCCTTTTAGATAAGCTTGGTTGAGGATCAGAGTTAGTGGATAGACGTACATTAAGCATATCAACAGGTTGAAAGGTTTTTTCCGAGTTCTCAACAAGAGAGGATGTTTCTAAAATATTCATTTGATCAATTACACAACTGGGAGCAAACTCATTATCAGAAAAAATGACTGGATTCAAAGGAAATATCCTTGTTAAAGCAAAACCACTTAAAATATTTTGTGGAGTAGCAGCCATGGCAAGCGCAACCTTAACGATTGTCGGAATGTCATATAAGGTCAATGTTTTTCTAGGGTGCATAAACAAACAAGTCAACTGCAGAGTCAACTGCAGTGTTAATGTGTTTTAAGTGGGTAAATATACTGATTTGTCCAATGGTTGTAGTTTGTGTGTGCAGTGTGGTGGAAATGTTCACATCACCATTCCATTGTCTTCAGCAAAGTCTAAACCTTCAATGCTTAGGTGTGTCTTGTGGTTGTCAAGCAGTAGAAGACAGGGCTTCTCTTTACTGCACCTTGTGTTCATTACAAAGTGTTTTAGATATTTCATAAAGATGACTTTGTTCATACAGCCACTTGCATTTGAATCTTCTGGTGGAACATCTCTAATAAAATAATCTTTGAAATGAACCTGAGGAAAAATTGAAAAATGGAGGAATACTATTGCCAGTAGCATTTACTGTGCAAAAAAGTGTAACTAGTGTTCCTCTTTCTGCAGAAGTAATGGCCCTGATCTGCTTTATACCTTGTCTTGTAATACCTTTATTAGGTTTATGTACTGTGGTAAATGCTGTTTTGTCCATATTCCATGTCATTAGGAGAAAATGAGTAAAGTCCAAAGCATTGTTGTAGATTGTCAAAGAATAGTTTCACATTTACTTTATTGAAAATAGAAGCTCTACTTAAACTGTTTGCTTCAGGCTACCTGATGGAGATCTGTGGATGGTGCTTCATAAATGCAGTAAACCAATCTTTTCATGCTTCTTTTAATTTCATCTAAGATTCAGGAACAGAAACACAATTTTTTTCTGCCAGTTGAAAACCAGCTTTTTTACTTCCTTAGGAGACAACTCAAATTACATTTCAGAAGCTTGCAAAAGATATGTGACCAGTTCTTTTTCAATAATGCCTGGTAATATCTGTTGATTTTTAATATACCTAATACTAACACTTTGAGACTTCTCTAGTCAGTCAACCTGACTTCTCTAGTCAAACCAAAATTAATCTACGTCAGTCAGTTTCTTGCAATATCTCGCTAGAGTTTGATAATTTATGCCATAGTCTTTTGCTACCCCTCTGATAGATATGCCATTCATTTTGACATCTTCAATAGCTTGAAGAACAGTTTGCTAATAAAGACAATATTCCTAATTTTTAGGAATATTGCCTTTATTTGATTTTCTATAAAATTGAAAGAAAGAAAGACACCAAAAAAAAAAAAAAGTAAAAATATTCTAAGACTTAGTTTTAACAGATGCACCAGAACATATTTTATTGATACATCATAATCCACCATTAGGTAACATAGATAAAGCACATCACGTACTATTTTGTCATTATGAATTACAAGCGCATATCAATACAAAAGAATCATATGGTAAATCAAAACTCAATTTTGGAAGAGGAAATTTTGATGGAATGAATGATGAGTTCAAGTACACTGATTGGTCAAATCTGTTCCACAATAAAAATATCAATTGATGTTATGAGATATTTGTTAAAAAATATCAAGAGCTATCCAATAAATATATACCAAAACGTATTAATACTAAAAAGAAATTAACACCGTGGATTGACAAATTTACAAAAGCAGAAATTAGAGAGAAAGCAAACTTATGGAAGAAATTAATATCGAATAATTTTAAGTCATCAGATTTATCAAAACAATACAAACAACAGTGCCAATTAGCCGAAAAAATTGTTCAGCGAAACAGTATCGAATAGAAGAAAAAGATTATTGAAAAGTCAAAATACAATCCTAAAGTTTTCTATGAGTATGTGAACGCAAACAACAAAATTAAATCAGGCATAACATCAATTATCGATGAATTTAGCTATCTTCATACAAATAGAGAAGCAGTAGCAAATATATTAAATAAAAGTTTTAATTCTGTTTTTGTTCATGAAGATAAAGATAATATTCCACTTGTTAAAACTGATAAGACTATACAATTAGATGTAGACAATCTGATCACTCGCGACTCAATTGAAAAGAAATTAGAACTATTAGATATGAACAAATCTGTTCGTGTAGATGGAATTAGTCCATATGTAATGAATAAATGTCATAGCACCATTTGCGAACCATTAATACTAATGTTCAAAAAATCTCTAAAAGAAGAAAAGGTACCAGAGTTATGGAAGCGATGCATCAAATTATAGACCGATTTCACTAACATCAATACCATGTAAAGTGTTGGAATCAATCATTAGAGACGAAATGATGAATTATTTATTGACGAATGGTTTACTAAATGAAAATCAACGCGAATCAATTTAGAAAATCAATTTAGAAAATAAAATAAAAGCTGCTTAACTAACTTATTGGAAACCTTAGATATCCTCACAGATGCATTAGAAAATAATTGTTCTATAGATATGCTTTATCTGGATTTTGCTAAAGCATTTGAGTACCATATATATGTACCATATTCATGTTTGGTTACAAGTACCATATTCATGTTTGGTCCATAAATTAAAATCATATGGGATTATAAGCAACTATCAAAAATGGATAGAAGAGTTCTTAAGCAATAGGAAGCAGAGAGTTGTTCTTGGGGACTGTGAATCAAATTGGTAACCAGTTATCAGCGGTGTACCACAAGGATCAGTTCTGGGACCATTACTACTTCTGTTATTCATAAATGATCTACCAGATCATGTGAACAACAACATGAAACTTTACCCCGATGACAGTAAAATTATTAACATAATAAGCAATTCATGTGACGCTAAGAAACTTCAATTAGACATAGACAATATTATGGCATGGTCATCTACTTGGCAAACGGAATTAAATTATGGCAAATGCAAGATTATGCATATTGGAAGAAAAAATCCTAATTGTCTGTTCATAATGCATGATATTGACACCAATTTAAATCACAACATATCAATTACTGAAACTGAAAGAGATTTAGGTATAATGATACAATCTGATTTAAAATGGAAAACTCAAGTTGATACAGCGGTTGGCATAGCAAACTTAGTGCATGCTATTATAAGAAGAACATTCAAATACGTCGACACACATACGGTGAAACAGTTATATGTAACATTCGTTCGGCCACACCTTGAATTTGTGATTCAAGTGTGGTGTACATATTTAAGACAAGACATCGATAAAATTGAGAAAATCCAAAGAAGAGCCACAAAGTTAGCGCCAGCATTGAAAAAAATACCATATGAAAAAAGGTTAGATATTATGCAATTAACAACTCTAGAAGAACAGCGAATACGTGGTGATCTAATCCAACAATACAAAATTCAATATGGTTTTGATAAAGTAAATTGGGTTTCAAATTACAATTATACCGCGTTGCAAGAAGGCCCCAATCTGAGGCAACATAAATTCAAATTAAAAAAACTGTTCTGCAAGAATATTATCAGATCAAATTTTTTCTCTAATAGTATAGTCAATATATGGAATAATCTACCGAGTGACATGATAGAAGCTGATTCAATAAATCAGTTCAAAAACAAACTAGATAAATCAAATATTTGCAAAGACATTTTATTACAAAATTGTTTTTAAGATAATTTGGTTTAGAGATATCAACTATAGTTGTGGAGCGCAATATCAACTGTTATTGCGCTCCACAACTGTAAACACCAGTTGTTACACCTACCTCTTATTATTATTATTATTGTTATTATTATTATTATTATTATTATTATTATTATTATTATTATTGTTATTATTATTATTATTATCATATAACAATCTATTTTCTAAATAAACAATAAATCATTAAGAAGTTTGTTTAATGAAATAGATAGATGACTAATGTCTAATGTTTTTTCTGCGTGACTTGAAGCGTATCTGCAAATTTATAGGGACCGCAAAAATCGAAAAAAATTGCATAATTCGCAATTCTGTAAAGTGTCAATCAACATTTATAACTATAACTATTTTTAAATGGTTAGTTCATATCTTATTTAAAGTTGTCATATCAACAATTCATGTTTGTTAAACTATTTAAAATATGTTAGATAATAAATATATGAAAACAATTAGACATTGATGACAATTGGCCACACATGTTGCAATATTGTATATATCTCATATTAATTACTTTTAATAGCCATCTCATAATAATTACTTTTAAAAAGTATTGCTATTAATTTGTTTATGTGGTTAAGTGGAAAATTCTTTGAAAAAACTATTGTTAATGAAACAAGAAAAATTATGTAAAGTTAAAAAATTTAAAATGCTGAAAAAAGATAGACAATTGAACAAAACTTCAATAAAGCAATTTTTTTCAAATGTTTGTGGTATTACTAAAAGCTTTGAAAAACTGAAGATCTTATTAATCTTTAATTTAATCTTGTTAATCATCATTAATCAATCTTTAATACTTCAAATATTTTAAAGGAATCAAATATTTTAAAATGTTTAATCTTATTATTTTTTTAAGCATTTACTTGTTTAACTAAAAGATTTCAGATGCAACATTTTATCAAAACTTCAATTTTACCTTGCTCAACAACAAAGCCATTAGTTTTGAATGAAAATTTTTTCAAACAAGCAATTATATATGTGTTAAAAGAATTTGCATCATTTCCTGAAATTTGAATCATTTACTTTAGAAAGTTACAATAAACCATCAAAAAATAATATTGTAACAACTACATACTGAACACCAAGTGGAAGTTCTAAAAATCATGTAAATAAGTATTATTTAAGCGATTTTTAAATAAGTATTTATTTGTTAGAGGTTTTAATGGGGTTGTTTAAATTATGGTGAAAATAAAAAAATACAACAATTTTATAATCCCAATATTATTACTACAGGAGAAAAATATGTTTTAACTAAAGTAAAATGTAAATTAGAATTTTGTTCATTTTTGAGACCTGTGCTAACAACAGCTTTAATCTTTTTCTATTTTTTAAGTTTGCACAATAATTTTTTTGCTGAAAAAAAATGCAGAGCTAAAATAAAATACTTCTAAACGTTTGCTTTTCTTAAAACCTTTGAAACGAAAACAAAAACTATACACATATTCATATATATTATACACATATTATACACATATTCGAAGAAAGCGACAAGCATAATTATTTATATTCGAAGAAAGCGACAAGCATAATTATTTAGAGCATAAACATCTAAAATGAAAAAACTAAAAAACTAGCCAGAACAAAATACTTCCACAAAAATTTTATTGGAATTAAAAGATAATAGGAAAAAGCAAGGAATAAAAAGATTCTTGATAACTAAAAATAAAGTCTTGTTGAGCATGATTACCAAGAAAGACACTCAGATCTCTGATAAAATATTGATAGCATCAAAACTTAACACTTTTTTGTAAACAGGGTCCAAACTTAGCCAGTAAAATTATGTTAGAAAAACTAAATTATTTTGGAATATTGCAAGAATTCCATAAATGGTTCGCTTTAACTAAATAAATGGTTTACTTAAATGGTTTATTTAAATGGTTTACTTAAATGGTTTACTTAAATGGTTTACTTAAATGGTTTACTTAAATGGTTTACTTAAATGGTTTACTTAACTGGTTTACTTAAATGGTTTACTTAAATGGTTTACTTAACAGATAGAAAACAGTTTAAATCTTTAAATCTTTGACATTCTCCAGACATTTTTGTCTCCAGACATTTGTCTGAAGATTGGCATTTAATAAACATATAATACTATGTGGGGTCTTACAAGGCTCAATTTTAGGTCTACTATTATTTTTTAAAGCATCAAACACTACGTCTTTTTTGATGTTTACCAATGAAATCACTTTATTTTATGCTCACAGTAACATTATAAAGGTTTTTCAAATATTTTAAGTAGCAAACAAGAAACTAAAACAAATTTGAAACTAGCTTAATGCTAACAAACTTAATGTCAACAAACTTAATGTCATCAAACTTAATGTCAACAGTCTTTAACACTGATAAAACTAAGTTTATCTTATTCTATTATAAACAAAAGTTTCAATATATTCCTGCACCTCAAATGATGTTATTTATAAACAGTATCAAAATTGAAAGCTTTTTCACAGAAAAGTATTTGATGTTTTATTAGATGAAAACTTATTATGGAGAGGTTAAATATATATATTAGCGATATAAACTCAAGAATAATTGGTATTTTATATAACACTCAAATTTTAGATAACACTTAACTAATTTTAACTTGCATTCATAAATTGTTCCCTATGCTATGCTACTTATTGTTTGGAGTAATGCAAAGATGATAAGATTTTTTCTTTTTCAGATCCTCCATTAATTATTATATATACTAAAGTATATTATTTAATGTTTTTAAATATTTTGTAATTTATTTCTTGACATAAAAATTTAAATAAAAAAATTTAAATCACTTTACAACATAGGTTTTGAAAGTCTATGCATAAAAACTGCATTACCTTGTAACAACTCAACAAGAAGGTCAGTTAATTTCACTTCTACCTCAAATCGATCATTGTTTGTGTAAATGCGACAAGGGTTTTTAGACGCTTTTCTTCTTACACGAATTCTGTAATAATAAGTATGAACTTAACTATTGATTATGTTTATTATTATTATTTTTAGTATGTTATTGTCATTATGTTATTGTTATTATGTTAACTTTATTATATTATTGTTATTATGATATTGTTATTATGTTATTGTTATTATGGCATTTTTATAAGTTAGGTTAATACTATTATTACCATTAATATGTTATTAATTAATATGTAGTATTATTATTACCGTTAATATGTTGTATTACTATGTTATTCAATTTTTTTTTTTTGTTTATGTGACACAATGATTGCAAAAAGTGACCAACGGAGCCGTCCAGTTACGTAGACCTGGGAGATGTGATAATAAAAATAGTTAGTAGATAGTGTTGTTGAATAAAAAAATAAAAATCATAAGAAAATTTAAAATGAGTAGTAAGACTTTTGTGAAGGTGAAGTTAAATGCTTGGGGGGCAAGGGGAGAAACAACTAGCACTCTAATTAATCTGTGTGTAGATCATATGTAACAAAGAACAAATATTTGAAATATTGATTTTAGAGACTGTTGATGTCTACAGGTGTTATGGTGTAGTGCATTAGTAAGTACTGTTTGGTCTTCTAGTATGGTCTCGTTATGTTTTTGTTCACTTTTAAATTGGGTGAATAGAAAGCTAAACACACTCATTCTTGCGCTTATGGGCTAGCACATCAGAGCCAGATGTAAGGCCTACAGAATGGATTTTAATTGATCGAATGCACACATTAGTCACCGTAGGCCACAAGCCATTCACTCTTAGCCAAAAGAGCTACTGCCCCGTGCTGGTGTGGAATGATGTGCTATGAAGTGAGATTTCAGATCCAAGCACATAGTCAGCAAGCGCTGATCCAACGTGCATTGTGGAGTTTCCGACTGAAAGTGTGCTCGAGTGTTAGCATAGTCATTAGGTTATTGATCGTCGTAACCACATCCAGTGGGATAGCCTAATGTACGTTTTGTCGTTGTGGTGTACATTAAAAGTCGAGGCTCACCAGCCACAAAGAATAAATTTTTTGTTTATGCGACACAATGATCGCAAAGTGACCAACGAAGCCATCCAGTTACGAAGACCTGGGAGATGTAAAAATAAAAACAGATTGTAGATGATGTCATTTAGGTAAAAAAACACAAATTAATATAAAGACTATTTAGTAGGAGGAGTAAAAGTTAGTGACTTGGGAGGAGAGGAACCATAACTCACAGTCTAGTCATCTTAAGCAAATGATAAAACATATGATGTATGAGTAAACAAGTCAATATAAATCCGCTGGTTTATTAATGGTATCTATTACTAAAATAATCGCACCATACAAAAACAATAAAATAAGTAAATAACAAAATAGTAAGTAAAATGATAATAAATGACAGGTGAATCAATATTAAAAAAAATAAATAATAATAATGTCTAATAAATGTCATACTATATATGTTCTGAACTCTAGATAATAAATTGAGAACTGATAATCACCTGTGTAACATAAAAATATATGAATGTTGTTAATGTAACAAATTCATAATAAAAAGTTCACAAATCGCAAAACTTCATGGGTGTAAGAGGTAAAAAAGTGTTGGTGCCATAATAACCAATTAGAATTAAGTAGTGGATAAATGGTGATCCCCCTCCTCAGGAATGCACTGCGATCACCAATGATTGATTCAATATTGCAATATAATAGTCATTATGTTATTATTATTATGTTAACTTTATTATATTATTGTTATTATGTTATTGTTATTATGTTATTGTTATTATGGCATTGTTATTATGTTATTGTTATTATGGCATTGTTATTATGTTATTGTTATTATGTTATTGCTATAATGTTCTTGTTATTATGTTATTGTTATTATGTTATTGTTATTATGTTAACATTATTATGTTATTGTTATAATGCTATTCTTATCATGTTATTGTTATTATGTTATTGTTATTATGGTATTTTTATAAGTTAGGTTAATATTATTATTACGATTAATATGTTATTAGTTAATATGTAATACTATTATTACCGTTAATATGTTGTATTACTATGTTATTATGTTATTATTATTTTTTTTTATATATTTATCAAAAGAAATGAAAAATTTAAAAACCTTTATTTTTCAAAAGTAAAAATAATTTTTTTAAAAAGTAATAATTTTTTTTTAAAAAAGTATTATTTTTTAACAAAAGATAATAAATATATTTTTTTAAAGTAATAATAAATAATTTTTAAAGTAAAAAGTTTTAGTTTTAAGTTAAAAATAAAATGTTTAAAAAATACAAGGAAATAAACCTTTCAATTGGATGATCTTTTCCAACTCTATTTAGTTCCAAAAAAATCTGCTTTTTGAATTCCCCTATGGTCAAGCCCTTGTATGCCACAGCTTCCATAAAAAACGTCATGGGCTGCAAACACAAAAATAAAATATTTGAACAGATTTTTATAACAATAACTTTACTTTTAACTTGCAACAAAGCAAACAAAAAACTAAGTTATTACTATTTTAATAAAACAATTGCAAAATTATATAGTTAACAACAATAAAATGTTTTAAGTAACCTTGCTACTAATCTCATTTTATTTTAATCACATCATTTTAACTTTTTATAAAAATAATCCAATGAGACATTACAACAAAAGCATTACAATACAAATAAGACATTTCAACAAGAACATCTTTTTATAAACAATTTGAGCAAATTACATCTGTTGTAATGTAAGCTCACCCATGTTAACATAAACAAAAATATAATTATACACAAACAAACAAAAAGATAAATAGAATATCATATACAAATGTATACAAATGTATACATTTGTATATGTATACATTTATGTAATATGTAAATAAAATATATGTCAAAATTACATCTTCATTGTTGGGTTCAAATAGATAAACTTTAACTCTCGATTCTCCAGTCATCAATGCTCTGCCCAACTTTACAATTATCTGCAATATATAAAAACTTTTACTATTTTACAAGGTAAAAAAATAAAATAATGAAAAAAATAAAAAAAATTTCATTTTTTTTAAAAGGTTACAAAACTACTTAAATAAATTATTGTTAACTTTATCAAATAAAATTAAACTTTGTATGAACTCACTTACTTAGTAATAAGTTCCTGAAATATTTTTTATGAACTCACTTAGTAATAAGTTCTTAAAAAAATTAATTTTTCCTGTAACAAAAGATTAAACTAGTTACTTGTAGATAGTGTCACATTGAAATTTAGTTTTAAAAAAACCATCAAAATACATTTATGAATTGATAAATAATTTAAAATGACATAAAACTTTGGTAAATATCAACTGATTTAGCTGATATTTTGGTCTGTCTACCACTGAAACCTAGTCTGCAATCTACCACTCAAACCTAATCTGCAGTCATATAACTTTTAAAAAAATTATTATTAATACTCTTAAAAAAAAATAGATAGTTCAAGAAAATATTTGTAGCTACTTAGCACTAACATTTATTCTAATGTGCAAGTCAAATTTCAATTTATATCTATATAACATAAATGACATACCTTAGCACCATTATTCATGGTGCTTAGAGTATCTTCAAGCCTAATGCATTCATACTCTTGATCAAATGAAATACGATAAATCTAATAAATTAAAGAAACAGTAAAATTTAAAATCATTTTACAAATATTAAAGTGTTACAAATTTACAATTATTAGACTTGTTAAATTATTAGACTGTTAAAATGCCTTTCGCATACCTTGGGGTGTTGCATCTGTAAAAACCTTTTTTAAATAAACTAGAAAGTCTTAGCACCCTTTCACAAACATAAAATTTACTACCATTTTATTTGAAACATTAAAAATTTACTACATTTTTAATTTAAACATTTAAATTTACTACCTTTTTATTTGTAGTAGATTGTTAAAACTGTGAAAGTTAAACCCCCTTTTCACAAAGATTTAAGTTAAAATGAATGAGGATGTTTAAGTATCAATGTATATAAAAGACTTATTATTTTAAACAAATTTTGTTGTGAAATAGAATTGTTTTATTCTAATATTAAAATTAACACGTTTTGTTAAAGCTTTGTTTCATCTCTTTGGTAACCCTATAAAAAAACAATAAATATGTCAAGATAAATAACTTTTCTATCACTACAACCATTTAACATGTAGTAAACCAAAGTTCCTACCCTTACCAACCATCTAACACATACTAAACAAAAGTTCCTACCCTTACCAATCATGTAACACATAGTAAACAAAGGTTCTTACCCTTACCAATCATGTAACACAAAGTAAACAAAGGTTCCTACCCTTACCAATCATGTAACACATTGTAAACAAAAGTAACTACCCTTACCAATCATGTAACACATAGTAACTCTAGAAACAAAGTTACTATGTAAACAAAAGTAACTTTAGAAATGAGTATTAGAGTAAAAAGAATAAATCAATTGCAAATTTTTGATTAGCAAATCTTGTCACTAATACAGTCCTAAAAAATATTTTTTCAAAGTCTAAAAAAAATCTTCTTTTTTTATGATATGACAAAATAATTTTAATATAAAATATTTTGACATGTTTAGCAGTGATAAAGGTGCTGTAAACTAATAAATATTTTAATTAGTTATTTAATATTATTAATAGATAATTGGATTGATTTGGTATGCAACTGTTAATGTTACCCTATATACGGGTAGCATTGACATTTGAGGTATATTTTGTCATGTAAATGCTAATTTACTTTGTGAGAGGTGAAATTATCATTGTAGTTTTGACAAACAAAACAAAAAAAAATATTTTAAATATATATTATAGTCTTCTCCGTCTGGCCAGTGATTTTGCATTCAAGCCTTTTTGCTCTCACTTTACTTTAAAATGGGCTTTAAAAAATGCTAGCCAAAAATATACAAACATTGTTTTAAATTGCAACAAATGATTTCTGTTCATCAAATACTTTAATGAAAAGTCATGATAACACTTAAATGTAAAATTATTTTATTTAGAATTTAAATTAATGTTTGTTTTGCTGGCTTTTTTTAAATCATTTTATTTAGATTTTAAATAAAGCATTCCTTTTTGTTTTTATTTTTTTGTTACACATTTTTTTGAAAAATATCAGTTGGCTTCAGTCTACATAAAAAATAAAAAAGTTTGTTTATGATAACTTTTTAATTTAATGTCTAAGAATTGCTAAACTATTAATAATGTCTAAGAATTGCTAAACTATTAAGCTTATAATTAACCTTTACTACCATTCTTGACTGAATATCTTATTTCAATGAAGTCTTTTAGTGTTGCCACTTTTTTGCTGGATTTCTTTGAGAATTTTTTGGTGTTTAGTTCAATTTATGAAACAATGAGATTTTTAATGCATCTTTATGTCTTTTTCTTACTAGAATTGTATAACATCATTAAGTGTGGATTTTAAATTTTTACAAGTGTCAGTTTTTAAATCTGTTGACATTTAAACTTTTGGGTTTGCTCCATTAGATTCCATTTCATTTTATTGTGAAAGTTTCATCAGAAGTAAAACATTCCACTAATTGTAGCTTGATTCTTAACCCATGGGGTAACTACTGCATAACTGTCAATGTTCCCCTAAAACTGAACATATAGGTAAAAAAAAAAAATTATAAAATATTCTTAAATGTATTTAGAAAACAGTAGTAAAATTAATATTATAATTTATTTCAATTTATTATAGTCTATTTTAATTTAATTTAATTTTAATTTTATTTGGTTTAACTTATCTTTTAACTAAACTTCTTCAGCAACAAAAAAACAAGATATTAATTTAATTTATGCCCACCATATTGTTTTTTTATATAATTTTATTATTCAACTAAAAATAGTTACATTTGTTCAGTAATATCTGTTTGCAACTATGTATAGCTATATTTGTTAATTCAACATCTGTTTGCAACTATGCATAGCTATATTTGTTAATTCAACATCTGTTTGCAACTATGCATAGCTATATTTGTTAATTCAACATCTGTTTGCAACTATGCATAGCTATATTTGTTAATTCAACATCTGATTGCTGTTAAAATCATTGAACATCTTGCTGTAGCATCTGATAAAATAATTTAAACAATAGTGAAGGGTAAAAACATGTAATCAAACAATTTTTAATGTTAGCTGCATGTCAAAGTAATTCTGCGTTACCTTACAATAAAATATAAAAATGAGTCATCTAAGATTATTAAGGCCTTAATGTTAGGCCATATCATTAAACACAAATCTTCATGTTTGCAATGATAAATTTTTGTTTTGAAATCCTTCTGATAAAAGTAAAAAGGACAAAAACATTTATACATAAAATTAAATATATAATGATATCTGAGTATATTGTATTATATAGCAGTACATAAGTAACATAAATAAGTACCCGAAACAAATGTTGTTCAACATTAATCAAATCTTCTATTTTTTTCTTTAAATAACCAAATGTCTTTTTTTTATTAATATTAAGTGTAAGCTCTTCTGAATTTTCTGAAAGAAGAAAAATTGTTTATACAGCTTTCATACAGCTAAACATAGCTTTATTATACAGCTTTCCTATTAAAAGTAGAACTTCTGCTCAACAATAAAAAAAATATTAGGCAATAAAATAATTAAAGCAAATAATAAAAAAAACCTTTTTTAGTTTGAACTATAAAAAGTTTTATTGTATCTGTAAACTCCTCTAACTTTTTATAAAAGGATGAAGTTTTATAATCTTCAGTAAAAGTGTCAGTAACAAAAATCTAAAAAAAATATCATCATCATTATCATCATTATCATCATCATCATCATCATCATCATCATCATCATCATCATCATCATCATCATCATCATCATCATCATCAGCAGCAGCAGCAGCATCATAATCATCATCATCGTCATTTTAAAATGCAACTAAAACAATTCAACGCAATGGCTACACAGAAAACTTTAGAATTTAGGATCCCAAAAGTTTTTTCATTGTGTTTGTAGCATGGCAATTAATACTGAAGATCTTCTCATTGTGCAACTGTAAGTTATGAACTGGGGACCTATTATTTTTCCTGATTTAAAGATTATTGATAACTTTGCTAAAAAATTTGTTTGTGTCAATATGACTATTAACAAGTTTAACCTATTTAGGAATATTTATATAAAAAAAGTAATTAACAGCTAGGATTTTACATATCATCTGTCCAGTATTATCTTTTATTATGTCACCAAAACATGATTTTGAGAAATACACAATTGAAACTTCAGAAGACCAAAAAATGTTCAAAATCAAATTTTCACCAAATTTTTGAAAAGGTTGTTAAGGTCATTAAATAACACACAGTTAGCCATAAAGACTGTCAGGTTTAAAATCTCACTAAATAAGATTTTTTTTTTTTTTTTTTTTTTAAGTAACCTAAGTTTGTATAAGTGTTTTTCAAGTGAAAACCAAATCTGAACTTGATCAGAAGAGTAAGTACTTTAAGTTTAAAAAAAGAAAAAAGGACTAAAAATTCAGCAATTATAACAATGTAATCCAACATTTTCAGCTTCTTTTTTAAAAATAATTTTCAACTGATAAGAAAAATAGTTGGAGAAAAATCCACAGAGCGCTAAAAATAGCAGATTTGAAGCAGTTTGTTTGTGCAGTTTGTTTGGAGAAAAAAAGGTGAATATTCAAAATCGTTATCAAAAGTAAAACCATCTATAGCAAATAAAATCAAAGAGTATATTTGGCCTGAGTGCAATAAAGATTTCATTTTTTGCCCTGACGTAATATGTTCAAATTGTAGAAGAAACATATTTTTGCTGGAGAAGGGATTAAGTACTTATCTATCAAACTGGATGAGTAAAGTATCTAAAGTACAGAGTTTATTGAATTTAAATGATTAATACATAAATAAAAAATAATTTTTTATAATGTATGTTTCTAAATTAGGTTGACAGGCCAAGAATTAGACGCAGTACTGAACTTAATGGTATTGTTCAACCATCTTGTGGTAAAACACTAGCTGTAGAATCTCCAAAGGAAAATATATGTAGTTGCTGCTTTTCTCTCCTTGCAAGAGGTTTACAAAAAAATATTAAATTATTTGATAAGTAAATAAAAAGTTGTCAAATATTTATGTATACATACATATTTAATTATAATTATGTAAATTGTAAACAATATATAGAATTATACATAATTAGTTTTTTTTAATTATAATTTATATAACTTCAATAGAATAAACATTTTTAAGTTTAATAAGTTTATATAAATTTTATATTTAACTTTATTCTTCAGGAGGTCATAGCAATTGTAGTTTTGGTCAGGCTGTTTTAAACCTAATTAATTTGTCAGAAAACCTTGATTCCACATCATGTGAGCAAGTTGCTTCAGACATAAGTAAAAAAAAGATGAAGCGAGAAGGCATAGAGAGAGACCAACCTATAAAAATATCTACAGGTAGCTAAGTTTTTATTTTCATTATAAAATTGTTATTAAAAGATTTAAATGTTCATATAATCTATATTATATATTATAAAACCTAAAGGCATATAAAAATAGATATGAGGCATATAATTTAAAAATTATTTGATTGCTAACTTTTTTGAAATACTTGTGTTTTAACTTTAGTTATGGTAAAAAAATATATTTAATTTAGTTATACTTTATTTTTAAGGTGGGAATCCATTAACTTTAACGGTTGGAACTAAAGATAATATATCTTCCAGAAATTTTTTCAATCAGATATCATTCCAAACAGTTATGGAGTTAACTTCTATACTGGAATTAACAAAAAATCAAACAAACAAAAAAATGATATAAAGTCTGCGTAAGAATCTAGGGTCGTCTACTGTTGTTGAGAACAATATAGTTAGCATGATGACATCATTGCAACAAAAAATTGTCTAGATATAAAATAGAAAAAGATGACTTTATTTGGAACGATGAAACTGTAACAAGAGATATAGTATTTATTCATAACATTTCTTTTTTTTTTCTTAATATTTTAATGGCAAGAGGTTTCGATCCTCTTTCCTGTATGGTACGTGTATCCATTGATGGAGGTCAAAGATTTCTTAAAGTAATTGTAAATGTCTTTGACAAGACCAATAAAAATGAGAGACACATGGACAGTGGAGATAAGAAGTGTTTTATACTTTCTATTGTTGAAGATATTTCTGAAGACCATGGAAATCTGCTGAAAATCTTGAGTAGATTAAATCTAGAAGATGTTACGTATCACCTTGCATTTGATTTAAAATGTGCTAACAGTATTTTCGGTTTATCTACTCTACGAAAAATTTTAAAAATGTGATTAGTCCTTGTCTTGTTTATTTTGATAAAAATTCTGAAGTTGAAATTAATCCCTTAGTTCCACCACCAGAATTACACTTTCTTATTGGGATTGTGACACTACTTAGTAGACTACTTTTAGACCATTGGCCTCTGTTTACAAATTGGCTCAAAGAGCATTATATTTTACTTCAAGATTATCATGGGATAGGCTTTGATGGCAACAAAACTTTTAGAAAAAGTAGATATTTTAGAAAGAGATATTTTAGCATCTCAAACTAATTTAATACCTATTGTTCGTTGCCTCAAAAAGTTTTCAAAAGTTAAAGAGTGCACATTTGGATAAGAATTAGGCAGTAATGTTTCTTCAGTTATTGAAGAGTTCAAAGTATCATTTTTTGACTTACAACAGTATGCAAAAATACATTTAAATGCAGAGCTGAATGTTACTTGGAAAGTACATATAGTGGTTTATCATATGTTACCATTAGTATAATTTAATTCTTGTTCTTTTGGATCATATGCTGAACAGACTGGAGAGGCTGTTCACAGCGCCTTTAAACCAAGTTGGTCTCGATATAAACTAATGATTTGGCATATAGATTATGGCAAACAATTAAAATCTGCCACTGTCACTTTTTGCATAGATAAGATGTAAATATTTCAATATATAAGTAGTTGTGTTAATATTTTTATTGCATTTATTATTTTTTCCTTGTTATTTTTCCTTTGTATTATTACTATTAGGGACTCTGATGTATTAAAAGTTGAAATCATTTTAAGTTTAAAGTATTTACTTTATTACTTATAATACTTTAAAGAGGATAATAAATTGATTTTTAAAATGATATTAGAAGGAGTTATCTTTTTAGGGGGTAACTTTATCGCTTTAAGGGGGTAAATAGGGTTAAAAAATTAAGTTTTTTTAGTACTTCTGATCTACTTTAGATTTATTCAATACACAAAAATAACATATTTTAGCAGCATTTATCTTTATATAAAAAATTAAAGGTGGGGAGAAGTTCAACCTGGCGGTCTTTATGGCACACAGTGAATACACTTATAAATCATTTTTAGAAATTTTTAGTTAATGCCTAATATCATTAGGTTTCAGATCTCTTGCTTTGTGTTAATGCTTAATATCATTATCAATTTTTCATAGAACTTTTAGCCAAAAATTTCTGCATGGGAGTTCTGTTTGGTCTTTTTTTATTATCTTCAATATTTTCTAGAAAAACCCCATAAAACACTGATTATAGGATACTTTTCTGTTTGTTGAAAATAGATCAGATTTTCTTAGTTTTTTTCAGACAAACCACCCACCACCACCCCCACCCACCACCACCCCCACCCACCACCACCACCACCACCACCACCACCACCACCACCACCACCACCACCACCACCCATATAGTTATACAAACATTGTTTTAATTAATATTATACATAAACATACCATATCATATTTATAAAAACTTTCCATTTTTAATGTTTTTTCAGGATTATCAAGCAATAAGAAACCACGATGTTCTTTATACACAACAAGCTTAGAAAACTCACAACCTCTCCGTAACGATATTATATTTTTGAGCTCCCCTATGGTAGAGTTGGATGACACGTACAATAAAAATGGTTCTTCAAAAAAATCTCCTAATTTGTCATCAACATAAACTTTCAAAGTAACCCCTAAATCACAAAAATTATTTAATAAATTAATAAATTTAAACAAAGTTTTAAATAAGTTTCTCAACTAATATTTTATTGTTTATAACCTCCTGGTTCATAAACTTGAAATTGTTCGCTTTCTTTTCTCCACTCTAGAAGTAAATCAAAGGAGAAGATTTTGCTAAAACCACCTAATAACTTGACCATGGATGTTTCCTAAAAGATTATAATATTTTAAATTTTTTAGTCAAATACAAATAAAAGATTTTGATTGGTCGAAATGCTTTAAAAAAAATCTTTTTAAAATCTTGATTAAAAACTTAACTAAAATATTATCAAAAGTATAAGTCAAATTTACAACCCCCTCATTTATTTATGAAAATCACTCTTTCTTTTGGGAAAAAAAATTTATAAGTAAATTTATAAAAAAGCTATAACTTTAAAAAAATTATTTTAAAATAAAATGTTTAATCTGTGAAAGAATTTATCAATAAACTTTATTTTCTACTTTTTTCAGGCTGAATTAAATACTGATTAAAAGTGTACCAGAAAAATATCTAAGGAAGCGAAAATAATCATAACACTTAAATTAAATTTTACTTTTTAATTATTAATTCTTTTTAATAACAAAACTCTATAAAACTGATCATCAGAAAAAAAATAAAAACAAAAATACACAAAATTATTGTGCAACTCTAGACATTGAAATTATTGTGCAACTCTAGACATTGAAATTATTGTGCAACTCTAGACATTGAAATTATTGTGCAACTCTAGACATTAAAATTATTGTGCAACTCTAGACATTGAAATTATTGTGCAACTCTAGACATTGAAATTATTGTGCAACTCTAGACATTGAAATCATTGTGCAACTCTAGACATTGAAATTATTGTGCAACTCTAGACATTAAAATTATTGTGCAACTCTAGACATTGAAATTATTGTGCAACTCTAGACATTGAAATTATTGTGCAACTCTAGACATTGAAATTATTGTGCAACTCTAGACATTGAAATTATTGTGCAACTCTAGACATTGAAATTATTGTGCAACTCTAGACATTGAAATTATTGTGCAACTCTAGACATTGAGATTATTGTGCAACTCTAGACATTGAAATTATTGTGCAACTCTAGACATTGAAATTATTGTGCAACTCTAGACATTGAAATTATTGTGCAACTCTAGACATTGAAATTATTGTGCAACTCTAGACATTGAAATTATTGTGCAACTCTAGACATTAAAATTATTGTGCAACTCTAGACATTGAAATTATTGTGCAACTCTAGACATTGAAATTATTGTGCAACTCTAGACATTGAAATTATTGTGCAACTCTAGACATTGAAATTATTGTGCAACTCTAGACATTGAAATTATTGTGCAACTCTAGACATTGAAATTATTGTGCAACTCTAGACATTGAAACTATTGTGCAACTCTAGACATTGAAACTATTGTGCAACTCTAGACATTGAAATTATTGTGCAACTCTAGACATTGAAATTATTGTGCAACTCTAGACATTGAAAGAGTATTCTTAAAATTTTTAAAAAATTAATCATAAACTTTAAAATTTTATTTTGTAATTATAAAAACTAGGTAAACAAATATAGTTAATTAATTATATTAAACTAAAATGGTAAATATCTGTAATTACAGTCTTGGTGTGAGGCAACTAATAACTGTTAGATATTTATATACATAAATTAATAATTATATAAATATACATATATATATATATATATATATATATATATATATATATATATATATATATATATATATATATTTATATATATATATATATATATATATATATATATATATATATTTATATATATATAAATATATATATATATATATATATATATATATACATATACATATACATATACATATACATATATATATATATATATATATATATATATATATATATATATATATATATATATATATATATATATATATATATATATATATATATATATATATATATATATATATATATATATCTGTGTGTATATATATATTTACATGTATGTATATATAGAACTTTTTATATTTTCTCACAAGCAACTCTGTTAAACTTTATCAAATTGTAATTAGGTTTAGGGGGCCTATCTTAAGTCTGAATTTTACAACTTGACTTTAAATGCCAAAAAAAATTTTTTTTTTCAAAGTATGTCATATTGGGTCTCAAAAGAAGCAAAATTATATAAAAATTTTAAAAATAATAGTTATTTTATAAAAAAAAAAAATTAAAAAATAATAATTTGGAAAGAGTGGTGTATCTCAGAATCAGGTGTACCTTAGAGTCCCATCAATTGTGCTGCCATCTTGAATGATGAACTTAAAATAAAAAATTAGTTGGATTGACCACTAGAGGCTCATAGAAAGTTGTTAAACCACTTTTATCGCATAGTTGTTGAAATAAAAATAAAAGTTTATTTACCATATCAAAAAGTAAGTTATTCAGGAATTTTTCTAGATTTTGACAGTTTATCAAAACTGGTTTTAAAAAACCGCTTTTTTACAATAAATTTAAAAAACTGTTTTTTATAGTACAAAAACCAGTTTTTAACTACAAGAAAGACTGGATTTACCTATAAGGACTATTTTAGATAATTGTTACAAAAACTTTAATGCTTGTAATATTGCACAACAGCTTGGAAATTGATTAACATTTTAAGTTCTATTCGCACAATCATCACGACAATTAGCTTGGAGATTAAATGCACACAAAGGAATGATAGAACGAATGTAATATATATATACATTATTAACACAAAAGAATTGTAGATACAAGAGCAAATAAAAAACAGTTATAAACTACATAAAATATATAACAGTTTTTCATTCAAAATACTTTTGCAAAATATATTTAAAGGCTCCAAAAATTATTCGGCTTTGAGCCACTGAGAGTTTAAATATGACCCTACTTATAGCAAACATTCAGCAGATGTTTTTTGTATTTTTACTTTTTCCTAAGGAAAACTTTATAACAATATAAATATTGTTCCTAACTTAAATTTTTTTCTTCTGAAAGTTTTGGTTGTTTGGTTAAGTTGTGTATAATACATTTTTTTCTTTGACTTTGATATTGATTTTAAAACACAATAATCAAAATATGAAAGAAAATGGATTGCTTAAAAAATTATGACATTAATTTTTGCTAGTTTCCCAGCATTGTCTGTTTTCAACGTCCAATCCTTCATTTTATTGTTGTATTAAGTCCTAAATGGAACAAATACGTTTTTGTTTAAGGGCTTCATTTTGTGACTTTTGTGTAGATGAAATGTTACCATTGTAATCCCATTATATTTTGCCAGCTGGTTTGCTGATATTGATATATTGCTCTCATTGTGGTCAAGTAGAAAAATGGATGGGTTTTTCTTACTTGAACAAGTGTTATACAAAATGTTTCATAAATTCTGTTATAAATTTATTAAAGAAATAATTTCAAACAAATTCAAACTCCAAATAATTACAAAATTAAGCATTCTTGCTGGTGGTACCACCAAGGTACACAATATTTGCTATCTTCAAGGTACGCTATTAGCAAATATTTAAAAACCAATATCAAAAATTTGTTGGACAAACTTCTCTTCGCATTTGCACTAAGTAACATTACACACAGTTTTCAAGTGAATGGACTTAATCCACTGAATGGAAACATTCCTGCCATCCTCTGTAACAGATTGACTGCTACTTATGTCTAAAAATCAACTTGAAAACCATAGTACGAATATTAAAAAGTTTTCAATATTCAACTAATACTGCAGACCTGCTTTTTTTGCAAACCAGACAGGCACTAACATTATGTCTCTTAAAATAATTCTACTCTACCCAAACAAATTAGGAAGGGTTGATCTATAAAAGAATTCATGTATTCTAACTTCCAGTCCCATAAAACTTCAATTTGAAAAAGAAAAAGCTAAGAAAAAAAAAAGACAAAATTGATAAAAAAAGTATTGGCATCTGTTTTGAAGAAAAGGTTTTGCTTAGACTTGGAACTAGATTCAGAATTAGAGGAAAATGTAGATGAACTTTCTTACAAAGAGTGTAATCAAGTTAGAAGTCAACTTGAAAAGTTGACAAAATTGGATTTCAAAATTGGAAGATCCAACTTTGAAAAAATTTAGTCTGAACTTTTTATATTGGCACAAGTTCAAAGCAAACATGCTGTGAAACACATTGTAACAGAGGTACTAGAAGACACATTTTTAAAAAATCAGTATTTAAATAGGATACAGTCTTGCAAAGATTAATAATAGAAGACAAAACTGGGTATTAGTTGAACAAATCAGAGGTGGTATTTAAGTTGCCACAATTCTCTGTCACAGAAAGCTCAACAGGACAGCTGGAAAAACTATCATTTGGAATTAACTTTGATTGCCTGAAATGTGGAATATCAAATCACAGTGAAAAACTTAATATTACTAAACTTCAATGAGACATTTAACATTATTTTCTTAATAAACTTTAGTATTTCTTATTTTTTAATTTACTACTTTTAAAATTATTACTTTTAATAATAATATTTAAACTAGTTAGAGTTATAGTAACTTATTTATTTAACTTAAAATAAGTAAACTTATTTAAATTAATTATCCTGTAAGTAAACAGTAAGTAAAAAAACTATTTTTTTATAAAATGATAATTGCTTTTTTTAATTTTTATATAATTTTGCTTCTTTTGAGATCTAACATAAGATACTTTAAAAAAACTTTTTTTTTTCAACATTTAGGGTGTCAACATGTTGCAAATATATATATATATATATATATATATATATATATATATATATATATATATATATATATATATATATATATATATATATATATATATATATATATATATATATATATATATATATATATATATATATGTATATATATATATATATATATATATATATATATATATATATATATATATATATATATATATATATATATATATATATATATATACACACTTACTAAAGCATATTTTGATAAGCATTTGCTCACTTTTTCTGCTTACCTTGAGCTATACTGTTTTTTTTCGAAAAAGAAGAAAAAACGAAGAATGATGAATAAAAGGATCGCTTTCCCATCCCAAACCCTCAGTCGATGTAGCACTACACTGCAAGTCAGGCTATTTGTCAGTCGATGTATGTACTGAAGCCCCCAGCAGCAGGCTATTTCAGTATGAGGTCAGATTTCTTACCTTAGTACGCAATACTATTTGCATATATATATATATATATATATATATATATATATATATATATATATATATATATATATATATATATATATGTTATAATAATATGTAATTTAAAATGACACAAAAGTAAAAAATCCCTTTTTTTAATTCAGGCCTTGTGACAAAGCATTGGTGTAGAGCATTTTACGTATGCAAAAAGCAATTTTACATTTCGCTTTGCTGAAAACTTTTTTGTTTAGTAATATTTAAATAATTCTATAGACAATTTTATCTAGTATTTTAATGAAGTTAACATTTTTTTTAAAAGTATTTTAATGAAGTAGTTAACATTTATTTTAAAGGTATTTTAATGAAGAAAATATCAAAATAATCAAAAATTTTCAAAAGAAAAATTTGTCTATTATTTTAATACAACCTAAATAAACAAAATGTAAAAAATTAAATAAATAAAAATTAGTCAAAATAATCTAGTAGACATGCAAATATTTATTTAGACAATCTTAGTTTTTTTGTTTAGGTATTGGAAATACACAATCGGAAATAAAACATTACTTTCATAAACTTTACATTAAACTAAGTTAGCTTGACTATTAAAAGTTTAGTTGTTTGGTTTTTATATAATATTTGATTTTATCACTTGACATAATTCCCCTGTTTCTTGCATGAAAAATAGATGATTATGAATGAATAGTAACATAGTATGAAAGTAACTAAAAAAAATCATTGGTTTCATTTACTTTTTAAAGGTGCCACAACACATTAGGTTTAATTACATGTTGTGTCTAATATATAAGCAATATTTTTTCAATTTACTCAATTTTAAATTAATGTTTGTACAATTTTACATTTCCAATACATCAAAATCTATTGTTGATGTACTGATGTTATTTACAAAGAATATATTGTTGATGTAATGATGTTATTTACAAGAACTATTAAAAAATATTGAAATTATTTAGAACTATTAAAAAGCTTTTAAAAGGAAAATCAAAAAATTTTGAAAATCATTGAAATTGTAAAACAATTAAAATTCCTTGCTGACTAAAAAAAAACTATAAAAGCTATAAATTAAATTTTAAAACTAATAATCACACCTTTAATGGTTTAATTTACAACTTTAAAATCTTTAAAACTTCAAGTTAGAGTGAAATTGATGTATTATTTTTATGTGTACAACTTTATGAATAAATAAAAAAAAGGCATTAACTCAAAATATTCAAAATTTTTCTTAATTCAGCGAAAAACTGTTTAAAAAAATTTTTTAAACATTTTTTTAAAAACAAATCTTTTTTCAACAAAAAAATAAAACTGTGAAAACCTTTTATAAAATTTTTAACCATAATTTTTATTTTTAAATTTGTGACGTATGTTAGAAATAATTTTGATAAACATATTTTTTATATTTTATATATTTTATATTTTGAGATATTTAAGTGAATAATCTTTAGGACAAAACAAATATTTCAATTATCAAAGTGAAGGTTATTAAATACAAGTTTTTTTGGTATGTAGATATTCATGACTGTTTGATTAAAAGAAAACATACCAAACTTGTTTTTATGTTCTTTTAAACGAAAAAATGTTTTTTACACTTAAGAATTCCAATAGACATTTAATGTTCATAAAAAATTATTTATCTGTAATGGCATTACATATTACTTTATGTGAAATACTCTTACTACTTTCTCTGTAAAAATCTAAAGAATGTGTGTATAAATTTTCATATAAAAAACAAACAGCCAAATGTAAGTTTTAAAACAGCCACATTCCACATGTAAATTTAAACAACAACAACAAATGTACCTGCTCATCAAATGACATTACTATTGAATTGAAGTTATCATCGTACTTTATTAGACGACATTGGCATAATGGCAAATACTCATGGAAATTTAAGATCTACAGTTAAAGCAAAAAATTTCCAATTTATAAGTTTAAAACAACATTAAGTTAACACAACTTATTATCAACAAATATAAACACAGCTTAAAGCAGCGCTTATGTAACAATTAACAAAAAAAAAATGCAGCTTAAAACAAGGTTTATGTAACAATTAACAATTAAAAACACAGCTTAAACGCAGTTTATGTAACAATTACCATTTAAAAACACAGCTTAAAGATGGTTTATGTAACAATCTACAAATAAAAACGCAGCTTAAAAAAAGGTTTATGCAACAATCAACAAATAAGAATACAGCTTAAACAAGGTTTATGAAATAATTAGCCTTAACAATCACAGCTTAAAACACCATTTTTGTAATAATCAAGAAAGCAGCAAAAAATTTTTTTAGTAAGTTAAAGACTTTAATTTTAAAGAGCTAAAAAGCTTTTGTCTATTTTACTAAATCATTTCCATTCTCAGTTTCATAAAAGTTTATATGGTATGAAACAACTTAATAATAGCCCATCAAAATGTACATTACCTTCCAAGCTTTTTCAGTAACATTTTTAAGTGTTTCATCTTTAAAAACTTCAAGTAAAGCTTCTACTTTGTTACCATTTATAGGATGAAAACCATAAAGCTTGATCTGTAAAAAAAAGAATGTCTTGATATTAAATTTGTTTATTATTTATATCTGAATAAAATTACTAGTAATACTATGTAATTAATAATTTTGTTAGCATGCATTTAAAGGTCTTGTTTTAAAGGGTTAAGCAGCTCACAAATTTTGAACAAATCAAGCAATTTTTCAAACACTTTAAGAGATTTCAGTTAGGCAACTTTTTATTATTTTTTTAATATTTAAATAAGTTCAATGACATCATTAAGGTGGTAATAAAAAAGAAGTAATTAATGTCATGAAAAACAAATAAAAATTTAAATGAAATTACATTTAATATAGAAGCTATTTACAAATGTAATAAAATTCCTTTTTTTTTTTTTTTTTGCCATTTCTGATTTTTCTTCCTTCTTTTCATCATTTTTTACTAAAAAATAAACATGCCTTGAGTGTAAACGTGCTCTGAGCGTAAACGTGCCCTGAGACTGCATCTCAGGTGTGCACAAAACATATGTTAAACTTTTTTCATTTTTTTAATAGCAAGTGAAAGTGCAACAATATATATTTTTTAATGGATGGAACTTGGAAACCTTAATTAACCTTTATTTGTCAAAACAAGATTGCTGCGAAGGTAATTAACTAGAGCTTTTATTTTTTGTAATAAGTAATACTTTTTGTTTGTTACTAACTTTTTAAAAATAAAAAAACTATTATTATTTGCAAAGCTGCAATTACAAATTTAAGAAAATAATAAAAAACTTTAAAAAAATTAAACATATCTTAATTTATTTATATAAATGTTAGGAAAAGAAAGAAATTATTTTATGTTAAAAAATTGGAATTTTATATTTAATTATTTAATATTTAAAAAAAAAGTAAAACAAAATAAACATTCAGTAATATATTTACGTAATAACATTTTTGTTAAGTTAATTTTTCAATTAAAATCATTTTGCATTAAATTATTATAATTGAAATTGTTTAGTGAAAAAGTTCAGGTTCATAGAAACAAATTGAATATAGAGAATTTTAAGATTTCAAAACTCACATTAAACTAATGCATAATGCATTTTTTATTTAAAAAAAAAAAGCATTCAACATAACTAATTATACTGTTTATGATGTTAACTTAAAGCTAATGCTTTTGTCTATTTCATGTATATAAATATTTTATAATGAGCAAATATTTAAAATTTTACTATTTTTATGAATCTAATTAAAAAAAATTGTTTAGACTTTAATAGAAATTATTACATAGAAATAAAAACACAATCAGGTAGCTTTAAGACACAAAGAGAGAATTTGACAAAAATTTAGTAGTCTTCCTGAATCTATTTTTAACAAGACTTGTTAGTGTCGAATTGTTTAAAAAGCTTAGTAGAGTACTAACCATATGTATTTTTAATCATTTGTTTGAAAGCTGCAGGATTTAAACCACTGTTTTTGAATTACTTTTCTGTGAGGCTTCTTTAAAACCTGTTAAACAGATCAACTTGTTAAAAGTTTTCTTAATAACAATTTTTGTATAAAACATCTTGTAAATAAACGTTACTAAATTTTGAATGAACCAATGACCTCGCTAATCTTCTTATAAATGAATTTGAGAAATTTGAAAATGAATTTAACAAAAAAAAAATTTAACTTGAAAAAACAAACAATTACAATAAATAAATTATGAACTCGTATTGAGCAACTTATATATTTTATATATGGTAATAATGAATGCTAACACTTGCAAACATTTTTAGAGAATCAGGTCAGCAGTTGTAAGTAAAGTTAAGATAAATTGGTTTTTGCACCAGCATTAACAAATGCTGGCCCAGATTTCTCAGACTGCGTTTGGAGACAGTATTAACCATAATTATTTTTATAAACAAAAGCAGTTGTAAGTAAAGTTAAGACAGATTGACTTTTGCGTCAGCGTTGACAAATGCTGGCCCAGATTTCTCAGACTGCGTTTGGAAACAGTATTAACCATAATTATTTTTTTAAACAAAACGTGCAAATTGAAATTGATAAAAAAGCCTGATTTGGGTAATTGAAAATTTATGCTGACTATAATAGTTATAGATAAAATTACAATTATTAAAGATATTAATAAATATAAGCTTTTATATTTACTTTGTCTCAGGGTAAAACTGCTATCTTAGCCTACTAATATCTCTACAAGTTTCAGAATATTCAGAAATATTAATCTAGAAAAAAATTGTCATCTACAAATTAAATAAAATAAAATGAATAAAACTTCATAACAGCAGGAGTAATTTTAAAAACCTTGCAAAAAAATTTTTCGGCATCAACTTTGTTGATATCTGAATGAAGAGAGGAACATAATTTACGCAAATAAACTGGCCAGTCTTGCTTTTTCATAAAAGTTTTATTTTTCTTATCAATCTTTCTGTACATCAACATATAAGCATTCGATGAACTAAAAATATTAAAAAAAAATTATCTCAAAATTTTTTTTTTTTGATAATGTCAATACCTAGTAGTTACTAGTAATTAGGATGGGGTAAAAATTACTTTTGAAAATCCCTCCTGTCTATTATATATTAAAATACACTTGATTTAAAATATTTTCGAATAAAAATTATTTTTGTAGTCCTAACTGTTTCTTAAATATTTAACAGGTCCCTAATATTAACAAAAAAAAAGTTTCTTCAATAGTATGTCAGCCTGGTACTCAAAAGCAGCAAAACTTCATAACGATTTTGAAACTTATTATATAAGTTACAACTTTTATATATATGTTCAAATTTTAAATCCAGTGTTATTTTATAATAGATAACAAACTTTGGGGTGTAATAGGAAAATTTTCAAAAAAAGTAATTTTTACTCCACCCTACTAGATATTGGGAAAAAAATACCTTGAATAATATCCTCCGTGCTTGTTATCTCCGCCATAGGACTTTTCAATTTCACTCTCAGAAATCTAAAAAAAATATAGGAACTAAAATACTATTATGTGTAATAGATTGTTGAATAAATGCATAACAAATATAAACACAAAGGTAAATTGCATTAATTAGAGACAACTAGAAAAAAATATATATTTTTAAATCATACCTCAGATACATATTGATCATTAAAACAATACCATTTTTTGTTTTTAAAAGACCTAAATATATATTTAAAATATTTACACGCATACCATATTACTCCAGTTGAATTAAATTATTTTCAGAAAAAAAAATTTATAAAGCTGAAACTTTGCTCAGTGATTCTATAGGGTACTTAGATCAGGTAAAAAAAATGCCCCATGAATCCCAACAGGAGAACCCCCTTTTTCGGACCCTATTTCATAATGACGCATGCGTAAAAAAGTAAAAAATTTAAATATAGACTAATGATATACCATTTTAAAATGTTTTTTATGCTGAACAACTTATTAAATGACACTTAAAAGCCTTAAAATGAAAGGATAGCTAGTTATTTAACAAATAAATTCTATAAATAATAACACTAAGTATATTTTTTTGATTGAATGTTTTATTAGAAACCTTCATTAAAAAGGTCATTTGTCACTTTTAATAAAAACAAAATTAAATTGTTATTTTTAAAAACATACTTCTGGATTTAAAAATAAGGTAAACAATTAAATATATTTATGTCTACATTGACTTAATTGTCTACACTGTTTTCCTCTTTGTCATTGCCCTACAAATGATATTTTGTGAAAATATTGATGTGACAATAAAGATAAATGATGCGAGAACAAGTCTTTTCATCTCAGTTTCATTGTTATAATTTACCTTGTTATTCTTACATTCTGTTTCAAGACATTCCCCACAAAATTGCAAGCACTGTATTACCTATTTCCATATTTTTACTTTTTCCAAATACAGAAGAAACAATGTCACACCCTGACCATGCATGGACAAAGAGCAGGTGTTGTTTCATGGTTTTGTTTTTTGAGCAAGCTCCCTGATACTCCAAGCTTTATCCCATTTATTTTTCAAAAAGTAAATGTCAGACATGTTGTTTTTCCAATGATGAATAAGCATCACTGCAATATCTGTGTCATCAGCCACAACAGTTACATGCTGCAAGCTTGTGTTTGCAATTTCAAGAGCGGTTTTAACAACGATGCTATCAACATCATCAGGGCAGCTTACAGTCAAATACCCAATGGTTTTAAATGTTGTGAAAAAAATTTATGGAAGTGGCTGTGTTTTCAATAATACTTAGAAAGCAATCTTGAGTAAATGGCACAAAATTATCTTGGTTGATTAAGTACTAAGTACTACATTGCAGCTTTGTGGAATAGAATTTCTGCGTAGATGCTCGTGACTCTTTGTGCCTTCATCTCGATAGCTGTCAAAAATAACTGTAATGCATCCATGGAAACTTTCTTTTAAAAAATTTGAATAAATATCTGCTACAGCATTGAATTTCATTCCTTTAAACCATCTAACTCTGTGTAGCAATGCAACGCTATCTAAAACATAGTGGTCTGGAGTTCTGAACTCTTTATTTTTAATAGCATCTTCGTCGCACATAATTACTTTTAGAAGAATTATTTTATCTAGCTTTCTCATTGTGTATGTTTAAAAAGTGACATAGGCTCATAAGTCAATTCATATTCAAATATAGATTCTAAATCTTCTTTACTTGTTGCAACAGTTAATAGCCTGTTGAACATTATGCTTGGTTCTCCTATTGGTTCTTTGTTACTTTTTACCTTTGCATGCAGGAAAGTGTCCAATACTATGTTTTGATTTTTTCTTTTAATTTTTGCTTCTGAATAACTTTACCAACTTTTTCAGCAAGCTCACAGGTTACACTATCTTTATAAGTAAACGATACCATATCAGTTGACAGAGAGTGGAGATTTTTGTTACAAGAAATTTTAATAATTCTTAGAATTCTTAGCATTGGAAATAAGTTTTTAAGCACATGAGCAATAATGGTATATAACTTGCAGGATACTTACTTTAAAAAAATTAGTAAATATGGTGATTAGATCTAAACTATTTGCAAATTTTACACACAACTATTTGTAGCACATAAAAAAAAAAACACGTTTCTAAAGTCTAAATTAAAAGTTTAAGACTGAAAAGTTTCAAAAGATCAATTAAAATGCAATGTCTTATTAAAATCATCTTTAAATGTTTTCAAACATTTCGTTATTTTTATAGGCTAGATTTTCAGACCATTTTTTATTACTTATTATTATTTATTATTTGAATATTATTATTCAAATAATATTTTTAATAATTAAAGAATAAATTATATATTCTTTAAAATGATATATAATAAGTTTATGTTTGAAGATTTTGGAACAGTGTCCGAAAGAGGGGGTTTTCCTTTTGCAAATCATGGGGCATTTTTTCATGTGATCCATATACCTTAGGGAATCACTAGGCAAAGTTTCAGTTTTATAAAATTTTTAAAGTTATATAAAATTTTTATTTTATTTTATATATATATATATATATATATATATATATATATATATATATATATATATATATATATATATATATATATATTAAATAAATAAATAAATAAATATATATATATATATATATATATATATATATATATATATATATATATATAATTATTATTAATTTTTAAATTTTACATCAAATAGCTAGAATTTTTATTATGTATATTAAAAATAAACATACTTAATGTATGCATAGTAATGACCACCAAGTGTACTTCCCGAATGTATCAAAACTGAAAACAGCTCATATGTCAACTGTAAAAATATTTAAAGAGAAAAATTATGATTTTCAACAGTAGTTCATGTAAATAAATAAAAAACAAGAATGGGTAGGAGTAAGCCAAAAGAAAGAGTGTTATGTGAATCTTAGACCTATAAAGAAGACTAATGTTTTGTTCCATAATTAATAACTTATGTAGGAATGAAATACTTTTAAAGCAAATCGTTAGTAAAAAATTAGTCAAACCAAAATAAAATAAAACTTTTTATAGTTTAAATTTACATACTGAAAACAATGTTATAACAATGTAATAATAAGTTAACAAAACATTTAGCAACTAAAAATGACCAAAAATATTTATTTGGTTTATTCAAAAATATATGTATGGAGGAAATTAAAGTGTCATTATTAAAACCTATATAAAAATATTGTTTGTATATACTTTCTATTAGATAAAAAACATGTTCCAAGTGTATATTTACAACTAAAGTGGTTTGGAGTTCTCTAATATGTATTTTTTATAATTATTACTGTGTTTTAAACCAGCAGATAAAAGATTTCATATGTATAATTTAACTCTAAAATGAATGGTGATTTTAGATCTCTGTTATTCTTATTAATTAAACTTTTAGATCTTTGTTATTCTTATTATTTAAATATTTAGATCTCTGTTATTTTATTATTTAAATTTTGAGATCTCTATTATTCGTATAAATTTTTTAGGTCTCCATTATTTTTATTAATTAAATTTTTAGACCTCCATTATTATTATAAACTTTTTAGATCTCCATCATTCTTATTAATTAATGCTTTAGATATCCATCATTCTTATTAATTGATACTTTAGGTCTCCATCATTCTTATTAATTAATGCTTTAGATCTCCATCATTCTTATTAATTAATGCTTTAGATCTCCATCATTCTTATTAATTAATACTTAAGATCTCCATCATTCTAATTAAATAATCTTTTTAAATCTCTTTCTCAGTTAAATTTGTAACTCCTTTTCCAGACAATTCAAATCAATTACCTTCACTCCTACTCATTCTTCTTTTAATTGTAATCATTTCTTTCATCGTTTTCCACAAAAACAACTTTTTGGAGAACAAAAGTTGCATTATTCTTCAAATCATTTTATATCAGAAATTGGGTTTTAGAGACTTTTGATTATATTACCTCTCTCCAGGATAAAGCAGAAATATTTTTAAAGAACTTTTTCTTTTATTCATGTCTGAAATCTAAAAATTCTTCCTGCCATCCCAAAGACAGAGATTGATCTACTGTTAGATATGTGAATCACTTCTGCTTCAGTAGCTAATGTTATTTCTAACATAAACTTTCCAACTGCTTGTGGTGTCACAGTCTTACAACTTTCCAGAACTTTCTTCATTACTTTACAAACTATTTAACAAGTGCTTAACTGAATCTTGTTTTCCCATCTACTGAAAAATGGAATCTGTTTCACTCATTTTTTAAAACGAGATTGCTTTGGAGATGACTCTGCCCTCTTTAACTATTGTAATCTTACTATTATTAGAAATCTATTTAATCCTTCATTTTATAAACTTCTTATTTTGAGTCTAAAAACATACTGTCAATCAATAGAGATTTCGATTTTCTTGTATTACTGCTGATTTGTTAATGGCAGAAAAGTCTATTGGTTTTAACATCAAAAGCTTTCAATAAAGACTTGCAAGCTGGTCTGAACCACAAGTTCGGTTCGTATAGTGTATCTGGAAAAGTTTTTAAATTTATTGAACCATTTTTTTTAATCTGCAGTTTTAAAGTTGTTCTTAATAATCAACTTTATCTCCATAAATTTTTGGTAGTCATGATGAAAGCATTCCATTTTTAATGAGTCTTCTAGATTACATATATTTAGGTATCTTTACATATACACCAATATTTAAAATGTAACAGATAAAAATGGCTGCATTAAATATTTAAAAAAAGCTATTTGTTAAAACTTTTAATCAAGGAGAGTCTTACAGAAACATTGGTAAGCATTTTAAACAACAAAACTCTACTATTAGTAGATTGGTGAAGAATTATAAAGATACTGATAAAACTATAAGACTATTAAGAAATTTGCAACTTTCTTAATAGCATCAAAAAAAACAAAACATTAAACCACAGAGCAAGATAACGATTGACAGACGACTTAAAAGATTGCAAATTATATGAATCAGGAAAGCAAGATGAAGGAAGCAAATTCCAAAGAACTGATGTTCAAGGAAAAAAACTTGACGAATAAGAGTTTATGGAGCACTTAGGAACAGTACCAGAAAAAGGATGAGACTTAATTGAATGACAAGTAACATGAGAATGAATTTTAGTAGATGGCACAAGAGACGCTAGCTCTTTTGAGCAGTGCCCATTATAGTATTTGTAGAAAAGAGAAAGAGAAGCAACATTACGACGATGTGACAGAGGTTGAAGGTTGGCTGCAAGAGCAGGTCCAACTATGTTTACAATGCGTTTTTGCACCTTGTCTAAAAGAGAAAGGGCATCATTAGAAGATCTGCCCCAGATATGGCAACGGTATTCCATACAAGGCCGGATTTGAGACTTATAGAGATAGAGAATAGAATCCAGAGTAAGAAAGTGACAAGCTCGATAAAGAGAAGCAACTTTAGCAGATGCTAATTTTGCAACGGATTTGATAAAAGGTTTCCAAGAAAGATCAAAAGAAGAGTTAATCCTAGAAGTTACTGTTACCGTTCATAAATATAGGAAGGTCTAAACTATTGCGATAACGATTGCCCAAAAAAAATTGAGTTTTATCTGAATTAAAGTTCACCAGCCACTGTGAGCCCCATGCTGTAGCAAAAGTGAGATCCTTTTCAAGCTCAGATGCCCCCTTCAAGCAATCAGAGGGAGTTGGCTTCTTATCGTGACAGGAATAAATGGTAGTATCATCAGCGAACAATGCCACCTTAGATGTTAGAATATCTGGAAGATCGTTAATGTAAATTAAATATATATATATATATATAAATATATATATATATATATATATATATATATATATATATATATATATATATATATATATATATATATATATACATATATACATATATACATATATATATATATATATATATATATATATATATATATATATATACATACATATATATATATATATATATATATATATATATATATATATATATATATATATATATATATATATATATATATATATATATATATATATATATATATATATATATATATATATATATATATATATATATATATATATATATATATATATATATATATATATATATATATATATATATATATATGTATGTATATATATATATATATATATATATATATATATATGTATATATGTATATATGTATATATATATATATATATATATATATATATATATATATATATATATATATATATATATATATATATATATATATATATATATATATATATATATATATATATATATATTAGGGTGGGTCATAAAAATTTTTTTTCTTGTTACAGGCTCTAAACACTGCTAATGGTAATTAATATTGATACTATCAAATATGAGAATGATTGTGATAGATTTAGGGCGCAACTTTATTGGGAAAATTACCGGTACCCTAATATTTTAGATAAAAATAGTTTAAAAATAATAATCGTTATATAAAAATCATATTGCTGAAAAAAATTGTTATTAAAAAACATGTAAAAATGCACCTTTTTCACTTTTAGTTAAAAAACTATAGTTATTATGCAAAAAAAAATGTAAAATAATAATTTTTATATGAAAAAATTATTATTTTTGAAATTTTTATAAAATTTCGCTTTATTTGAGTACCTACATCATAAAATTTTGAAAAACTTTTTTTTGGAATAATAATAGGGCCTGCTAATTTTTGTAATTATAGTTGCGGATGGAAGACATTGTTTAATCCATAAAAGAAAATACTTTCCTAAATTAGTACATAAAAAAACAACTTTCTAGACCATAGCCAGGTTAGCAACTCTAAAAAAAAATTTTATGACCCACCCTAATATATATATATATATATATATATATATATATATATATATATATATATATATATATATATATATATATATATATATATATATATATATATATATATATATATATATATATATATATATATATATATATATATATATATATATATATATATATAATTGTTTTTAAAAAAGTGACTTACTTTAATTAAAAAGTAGCTAACTCCTACCCATGCTGCCCAACTTTGATTTATTTTTTTAAAGTAAAATAAAAAATTTCACCTCATTTTTTGAGCAAGTATCCTCTATTTGAATATGATTTAATCTCTCTTTTTCGCATAAAAATTGGCTATCTGAAATTTCATTGTTAAGATGATTAAAACTTTTCTCATTTACTTCTGCCTGAAATCCATTAACTCTTTCATTTTCTTTTGCCTGACACCCATTTAATGTTTCATTTTCTTTAAGAGAACTTTTCATTGAAAGATCATTGATTTCTTCTTTTTTTTTTAAATCAAAATTATCTTCCTAGAAGAACAAAAATTATATAATAATGATATCACAATATAAATATATAAAAACATCACAATGTTAATATATGACATCACTATGCAAATGTAAAACTACGATGAAAGTTTAAAATTATAGTAAAACTACAATCAAAATTTTCAAAAAATTTTAATATTCTAATTTGTTAATATTGTGTCTAGAGAATACTTATCTATTATTTATTTATTTATGCTCCTTGAGATTTAACACTATAATGAATCTATTATGATTCCACACTGATTAGAAAATTTTAGATTCATAATATCAATATGTTTATTAGGTTTGTTCTTGAGGATTTTTACAATTTTTGAAATGATTATTTCTAATAGTTTATTATACCGTTTTGCAACTCAGTTTTCCAGAAAGTTTTCCTTTTGTTTTTGGCTTGTTGATTTTATAAGTTCAATTATAATAAAATGTGCTTTATGACCTCTAATGTTTTCAGTTGGACCATATGCTGAAACACAATTTGCTGATTTTGGTTGCTGATACTCAGATATTCTGGCCAATTTTAGAAGTTAATTTAAATCTTAATTTTTAATTGTTGCATGTAAGTAAGTGTTCAATATTTTTAAATTTTAATATAGTACAAAAAAATATATTGTCCTTATGCTTATTTTAAAACAGATTTTTTTACAGACTGGGTGAACCATAAACTTCTGTGGGAAACATACACTTTCGTAACAATTTAACACAAATATAGTTATTTTAGTAAATAGTACTTTAATAAATAATAACTTTTTTATTAATAATTTAAAATAATTTTTGTTACTACTTATTTATATTTATATGTTTATTTACAATATATCAGATCAGATTATGCTGCTACTGGTAACATGTAACACAGTACAACCTGTTTCAAATTCTGCTACATTGTGGGATACACTATTTTTAGGCAAAGGCTAGAAGATGCCAACTTAACACACTTAACACACCTGACTTAACACACCCCCTGCCTTGGGGCTCCTGGATGAGTAAAGGCTGACTTATATTATTACACGCATAGGGTATATAAACCCAGGATATATACCGTAGGATATATACACCATAGGATATATACACCCAGACTTAGATTATTCAGCCCTCAAAATAAGGGTCGGCATTCGGGAATGCCAACCTAATTGCAAAAAAATGTCGACTTCGTTTTTATGTTTATGGTAACCCCTTTGTGTCAAATTTTTTTGCCAACCTCTAACAGTTTGAGATTGACATTTTATTGCCATCCTTATTTTTCCTAATTCCAAAGGTTGATTATTACACCTATAAGATATATACACCGAGCATAGCTCTACCTGACTTAGATAATAATATATGTATAACAAGAGCAAATCTGTTATTTCTCCTTTCTTGCATGGTTCAGATTTTGTTACCTCACCTTAAGACAAAGCTGTATTGTTTGCTAAGAACTTTTTATCGATATCATTTCTTGATTCCACTAATCACATCCTACTGATATAGCCAACAAACAGGTTGATCCATTGCTTTACATTCGTATCATTACAGCTTCTGTACATAAAGGGTAATTCCATGTAAAACTGGGACAAAAAATCTAAATTTTTCAGTCACCCTCTCAGAGTTCTTTCAAATTTTACCCAGTGGTACCTATCAATGTAACATGAAAAATTATAAAATTTGAGCTCCTAAAATCAAAAGGTTCAAAAGTTATGACATTTTGAAATTCAGCCTAAAACATTCCTTTTTTTGCCAAGTCCCCATTATGGATTTTGTAGTCGTACTTTTTAATGTATAATTTAAGATCTAGTTGAAGAATGAGGCTAAAAATGATTACCTGACCATTTTTGAGGGTGCTGAATTCAAAAATGAAAAGCAAATAGTGAAATTTAAATTTTATGATGGTTATTTTTTGATTTTAAAATGGTCAGTCCAATTTTTTGTTCTGTTACCATGGGTTGCGCTTTCATCAACTCACAGAAATGCCCAAGTCTCATGGATTCAATTTTTTTTTCAAATGAAGTAGGTGGGCTAAAACTAGGCTATCTTTATAAAAAAGATAGTTTTGGTTTCTTAAAGCATTATAAAGATATATCATTTTGAAATTTATACAAAAAAAATTCCTTATTTGGACTCAAATTCTCTTTCATAGATTTTTTAGCTATAGTTTAGGTGTAAATAATTTAAGTTTTAGTTGAAGAAACTGACTGAAAATTGGTACCTGACCATTTTTGAAGATGCTGAATCCAAAGTAGAAAAAAAAAAACCTAATTTAAAATGTTAGATGACTGTTTTTTTTTTTTTTTTTTTTAATGTAAAAAAGCACATTACAATAAAAAGAGGTAAAGTTTTCACAAGTTTCCTGATCACAAGACTCTCATGGGTTCAGTTGTGATGTGTAAAAAGAGTTTATTGAGGTAGGTTTTTATATATAAATAATGTTTTGTGAAGTGAATTGTCATTTAAAAAAATAGTTTTGCAATGCCTGCTGTGATGTATAAATATAGATTTGTGATGTCAGATGTTGTATAAATATAGTTTTGAAACACCAGTAACCATAAACTTAAAATTTTATTAATTTTAGATTAAAAATTAGAGAATTTAGTAATTCAGTTTCTTAGTCATGGCAAACAGCCAACAGTGCTCCATTGGAATCAAGCTAGAAAGTGAATGTCATTTTGCAACATATACATCATTGCTTGGAATCAAATCTTTTGAAGATATTCCTGAATATGAAAGAGAAATATAAATGTGGAGGACTGGGCTCTCAATAATCAATGTAAAACCAACAACTTGTCTACATCATAAACATGTTTATTTGAAACATTATGCAATTAAATTAACACGGTGCTGCACTCCATTTAATACTCATAACAAAGTTATAAAAGGTATTTATAGTAATCACAACTTTTATTTTGTGAAAATATTGTGAGTTACAATAATGAAATTCTTTGCAGCCAATTTATTTTAGCAATATTTAGCCTTACTTTTAGCTGACTTCTAAAAGTGCACTGTTAAATGCCATACAAATTTAAATTTAAAATAGTTTTATTACAATTTTTATACATATTAAAAGAGTTCTTCCCTTTTTTTAGGCAGTCTTCGTGAAATTAACTTGGATTCAGCAAAGTGCTTATGCAGTAAAGACAAATTCATAGTGCCAGGTGAAAAACTTTGTCCACAATGTAGACATACTACTGTGATCAAAAAGTAAGGTGAATTTTTAATTTAAACTTCCCGCCTTATTCGAATCGTCCAATCTTTTTTATTTTTAAGTTGGTAGGAATGTCATTAACATTTGCGCCAAATTACATGTCAAACTCATAATTATTTTTTTTTGTTTACGCTTGTTTCTGAAGTACCAAAAGTGCATTCGGCGATTTTTACGATGTCTAATTTTGTTGAGCAAAGAAGTGCTATTAAATTTTGTTTGCGGAATGATATTTCTGCTGCTGAAATGTATCGAATGTTGCAAAAGGCCTTCGTGAAGAGACTATGTCTCAAAAAAATGTTTACAATGGTACAAAGACTTCAAAGAAGGCCGAGAACGTGTTGATGACTTGGAACGCTCCGGACGACCATCGACTTCGATTGATGATCGCCATATCAACAAAATCAAAGAATTGGTGCTTACAAATTGTCGGTTAACCATTCGAGACCTTGTTGACATGGTTGGAATATCATTTGGGTCGGTGCAAGCGATTTTGAAGGATCATTTGGGCCTCAGAAGACTCAAATCACGTTTGGTGCCGAAATTTCTCAATTTCTTTGAAAAAGAGCATCGCATTAAAGCGTGTGAAGCAATGCTTTCTGACTATCAAGACGTCTACAAACAAATTATTACTGGCGATGAGACTTGGGTCTACGCATACAACCCTAAAACAACCGACCAATCGAGTGAATACCGTAAAAAAGGCAAGCCAAGACCGAAGCAACCACGTCAAAGTCGCTCAAAAATCAAGGTCATGTTGACTGTTTTCTTTGATTATTGTGGTGTCGTGCACTACGAATTCCTTCCAACTGGCCAAACTGTCAACAAGGAATATTATTTAAGCGTTATGCGACGTTTGCGCGAAGAGACTATTCGCAAAAAGAGACCGGAATTATGGGCCAATAACTCTTGGATTTTGCACCACGATAATGCGTCTTCGCACACAGCACTGGTTCTTCGTGAGTTTTTCGCCAAAAACTCTACCCATGTTGCTCCACAACCACTGTATTCGCCCGACTTAGCACCGTGTGACTTCTTGCTGTTCCCAAAGCTCAAGAGACCACTCCGGGGAAATCGTTTTGAGTCCATTGAAGAGATCCAACGTGAATCGGCAAGCGCATTGAAGGCTATCCCTACCGAGGACTTTTCGGCATGCTTCGAAGACTGGAAAAAACGTTGGCAAAAGTGCATTGGGGCCGGGGGAGATTATTTTGAGGGGGACGATACAGATTTGGAAGAATAAATAAAGATTTTTCATTTTATAAAAAAAATCACCTTACTTTTTGATCACAGTAGTAAATTAGCATCAAGTGAAGAATCAGAAAAGAACGAGTTGGAGATAAAATTAACTCAAGATAATATGGAAAAAGAAAATATACTGGAATCAACAAGATCATTGCTCAACAGTACTTTGTGTGAACTTGAAGTGTCTCCGCTAAAAGTTCATTTACCAAAAACCTTTAACAAGCCTTCACTTGGAAAGAGAAAGATAAAGCAAGTTGAAGAAGCAGTTATTAAGAAACTTACAACTGCTCTGGATGTCACCGAATCTGATCTTGATCCACTTAACAACTATGAAATTCTAAAGGAAATTGAAACCAAAGCGATCTAGACTTCCTTGTTGAATCCATGGAAAAAAAACTTACAGTTTCTAACAGAAGGGAGCAACTTCAAATTTTGACATTGACACCGAAATCTTGGTCTATCAGAAAAGCAGCAAAAGAGTTTTCAGTTTCCAAACACAAAATTCAAAATGCAAAGCTTTTACGTGACCAAAAAAGCATCATTGCATACCCCAATTAAGTTGAACGGCATC